TTTACACTTATTATTCTTTAAACAATGCTAAATGCTCAAAATATGTAGCCTATATTTTATCCAATTTATCGCAGTTAGGTGAATTAACGTAATCCTTGAAAGTAACCGTCGATTTCGACGGGTTTCACCTAGTTACTATTAAATAGTATTAGTTAATATATCGATGTTCACATGACCGGATGAGTCATCAGCTCTATCCCTAGTCCGTCGGTCATTATCCCTCGAGGCACCGGCCGATGGACCAGGGAACAGCTATGATTTACACTATCACCCTCTACTACGACATTTTTTTTAGGTAAACATTCCAACGCTCATGATGACATCGAACACTCATGCATATTTGTATATAGGCCTAGTCAGTCCAAAACCTGAATACACTGTAGGTATGAATCAGACCGCTTATATCATAAACAACTAAATATTAAGGCTAGTTTCCTAACCAGAGAACACACAAGAATGGCACTTTACAAGACTTTTTATACCAAGCCTTCATAAACTAAGAGTATTTCATAAGTTACGTTGCCTGTGTAGATTTAGACTTAAAATCAGTATAAAATCAGTAATGGATTGAAAATCTAAGTGTTATTTACGTTTTGTTTGCACTATAGTGTACCTGATTCTCGAAATCGACTAATTTTTAAGCTATGTGTATTACCAGGAATTATTTCAAAACTAATAAATAAATAACGTCTTTGTTGGGCAGCGTACATCAGATTATAGATCTGTTTTAGATTAAAACTTTTGTCATTCAAGGAGTTTAAAATACTCAACTAAAAGCTTATGTTATTAATAAAAAAATCACACTGTTCATAACAGTTTGATATAATCAACATTTTTTTTGAAAATGTTTAATACTGTGAGTGAAAGAGTTTTTTTTAGCAACTACCACAGTACTACGTAAAATCAAAACAATATTTAGGTTGATTGGAGGTCAATCACTTTCTCGCAACTACGCGATAGAGGGCTGACCCAACACCCCAATAACTGGAATGGATTGTTGTGAAAGGAAACTCTAAGAATTTGCAAATGAAGTCCATTCTGAGTAACGTGTGGGGATTAACGGGACATTCTGTACGCTGTTTACAAAATATTTCCTTTGCCTTTCCAAGTACTAAATCTATATGGTTTTGCTTATATTAAACAATAAATCAAATACGTTGTAGCAGATGTCTTTAGCTGCATTTTACAACAGGTATTTCGTTCACCTTTCTCAGAAATAGCTGTTCATGGCGTGTTCCTGAATCAACAATAAGGTATATTGTGTTATTGTCCTAATAAACACGAGAGACATTCGCCTATCTTTATGGTCGTATTATATAAATAACATTGAACTGATTAATTTAACAAATGAAAAAAAAAAAAAAAAAAAAAAAAAATAATAATAATATTGTAACAATTAGGCTATTTATGTACTGTACATTTATGTTTTATGTTTTACATTTATGTTTTATATGTTTGTTTTGTGCTGTATTTATGTTTTAGTATATATATATACTGTTTAAATATTTATTTATTCAATCAATGTCCTGACTAATCAATACACAACCTAAACGATATTAAATAGAGATTTGATCATATTGTCATAGCATCTCTTTATAAGAAATCTGTCCGGAGTATGTGCAATTTTGGTTTATTAAACTTATTGGTAAATTGGTGTAAGATTGTTTTAGGTTTATTCGTAATCCGGACGCATACGAAGTTGAAGCTTTTGCTTTGGTATTAACAGTCAAGTAAAATAAATAAATAATTAAAATAAATAATTAATTAAATAATCTTATAAATTTAAGAAAATGGGTTATTCGTTTGGCTCTGCTACCCGACCATTTTTATTATTGAGGTCTCAAATTAAAGGTATGCACGCACAGATTTGCCATCAAGCATCGGCGTATATTTTTCTATTATCTCACTCGGCTTATACGTAAACGAAATTGCTCCCCATGTTTTTCTTATGGGAGTTTTAAATTTGGTTTTCATGATTTTCTTCGTTAGGCTAAACAAATCATGTTAACAATTTAATTTTTGAGTTGTTCTAATTCTTATAACGTAGTTTTCTAAAGTTATCTGTTGTGGCTGCCTAGAAATAATCGGACGTTTGTTTCTCCTTTGAAAATGTATTGATAATTATAGTAGTGGTAGTTAATTATGTTACAAGACTATGACAAATTGCCAATTATTGAGTCAACTTGGTCCCCACGCACAGGCTTCGCATATGTGGGCCCTGTCGATTTTCAGAAATTACGTTCATTCTGTATCTATTATTCTTTTGTTATGAATTGCTTTTGATTTTATTTATTTGATTTAATTTTACTATGGTATTTTTCCGGACAAACTCCATTAAACATATAGCATGGTTCGAGGTTAATTTAACAACTTAAAACTAATTCATTCAACAATAGTTTACCTGAAAACTATTTTACTAATATTTGTTTAAAGTTTTACAGAATACACTTACACATGATGCTATTGTATGTTTTTATTTATACATGATATAGGTACTTACAACAAAACTTGTGAATTTTTGTGTTTATTTATACATTTATTGTATGGCAACAACGTAAACTTAAAGATAGGAGCGAGTGTATGCAATTCCAAGATAGAGTTTAGTATTCACCGATCCTACGATAGTTTAGAGTATATTTCGTACCTAGGGCCGAAAATGACTTTTTTTCAGCTCGGGATCATTTTTAAGTTCGAGACGAAGATGAAATCGGTCCGTGGTACGATTGCTGTTTTTAACCAAACTATACAAAACTGAGAAAATATACCAATAATGTAGGCAAGCATGTTTCTTTACAACCTTTTTATCAGCTCGTGAACATCACAGAGAAAATATCCGCATATCGGTGGAAATGTATTTTCCTGTCGATCTACAGAATGCCTTTATAAATTAAAATAGGCTAAAAAGACATAAAAAAAGAATTACAAATGTTTAAAACTAACATGGGTTTAACGGGTTGCTATGCTGGTGACGAAATAACAACTAATTATGAAAATAAAATCAAAACAAATGGAACATATTCCAATCACATTTATTATTTACAGTGTATGTTAAATGGAGAAGTATGTGTAGTACATTGCATAGTTTTTGTCGAGTTTTCAACCGCTGGACCTCAACTTCATTGTACACTTCATTGTTCATTGATCACTGGGAAATCCATTGTAAACTATAAGATATGCACACTAATCAATGCAAATACTTTAAGGTTATGTGAAAAAATATTTAAAGGAATTAGCAAAAATAGTAATACATAATTGCTGGGCAGCGGTCTATTGCAATTCATTAGGGATATACTGCTTGTATATTTAATGATATATATAAATGTTTTAATTAAATAAACGATTTTCGGTACTAGGGCTGGAAAATTTTAATCACAACTATAGCTGCCATTTCGACCCTGGACAGCAATGCGTAGCTTTCAGCCTCCAATTAACGTCTGTAAAACTACTAAAACATCGAATTGCGGTGAAAAATATTTGCCAATCATACTCAATCGACTCGGAACACTGCAGTTCCTGATTTAATTAAGGGTATTATTAAAAAGTACTCGTGCAGTAATCAATTAAACAGGGTAACGAATTGAAGGATAGATACAACTAGACGCAAAATACGCGTAGGTACAACTAGACGCAAAATACGCGTAGGTACAACTAGACGTAGGGACTACTAGACGGAGGGACCACTAGTCGTAGAGACTACTAGTCGTAGGGACTACTAGTCGTAGGGACAACTGGTCGCATCCGTACAAGCTAGGTGATACTACTTGTCGGTGGGATACACGTCTAGTTGTACCTACGTCTACTTGTACCTACGTCTAGTTGTACCGTCTCCTAAAAATCTGCAGGTACAACTAGTCGGGTGAGCCACCGTCTACTTGTACCTACGTCTAGTTGTACCTACGACTAGTTGTCCCTAGGCTTCGAGGTACAAGTAGACGGAGGGACAACGAGACGGAGGGACAACGAGACGCGGTCCCGAATATGACAACTCTCACTACCGTACTGTATTGGAAATAAATAAGTAAAATTTTAAATTAATAGAAAGGCATTTTCATTTTTATCAATAGCGATAAAGAATTATCAGCAACAGTCAATACATTCAGCTAAGGGTAATGCCACGCCACACTAAGCTGTTTTTGTCGCTGAAGTTGGGCGGTTTCTGTCGTGCCAGAAGTAGAACTCAAGGGATCAAATGGAGGGTGCCACACCGGTCGGTAATTGTCGCTCAGTGATGTTGCCGCCCGCGACAGTCGTGGTGGAATGGGACTGGGCCTATTTCTTCGGCGGGAATTGTCGCTGGCAACCCTGCCACACTCGGCTGTTTTTCGCCTCAGTCGTGCAGCAGCCACGCTTCATCGTACTTGATTGTTGAGTGTTACGCCATAAGATAGTGGCTCATTCCAAATGGATCATTTGGACGCAGAAATAATTTTAATAGAGGTCTAGAGAAGTATCCCTGCCTCTATAACACCAAAACTCAAGATAACTGAGTATCTGTCTTTTGTAAATTGTTTCTAATGTTTGACAACAGTAAATCAAAAGATGCTATGGACATACAGTAAAAATCACAGAATTTATCCGGATAATCCTTGAGTTTTTTCAAACAAAATAAACTTTCCTTCACATGGACGACTCATAATAATTAGATGAATCCACCGTTTTTGTTGCCGTTTACATCTTCTGCGGCAACGGACAACGTACAATGATATTGCTGCAAAACATTGAAATTTTGAGTGACAACTCATCTTGCATGGTGCGTCTTGTATGGTCATTGCAAGACAACTGCCAAAGCCGACGATTTTACTGCCAGTGTGGCACCCTGGGTAAATTTTTTCGCTACAAAAACCGTCGCGACACTGCGATTATTGTCGCGTCAGTGTGGCACCCTTCAGTGACTATTCCCGTCGCGATTATTATCGCGCGACAGAACCAGCCTAGTGTGGCATTACCCTAAGCTATGTTGCTGTGTTTAATAGAATTGATAACTTATCTATCTAGCCTACCTGTTTCATAACGGACTCTAGAAGCCAATCCTTGGGACCAAACAAATCCTGTAGCTCGCTGCTCATTACTGTTAGTTTTACCGTTGAAAAATTTGTCCACATATTCTTTGGTATGAACATTTGCTGCCTCATCTGCAGTTATTTGGCATGGTTCAATGTGCTAAAAAACAAATTTAAGAGCAATTAGGAACTATCTTTACCGAATTTTCATGTGGGGAAGCAACTATTCCGTAGCCTTTCTGGTTTTTTTGTACTCTAAAAACATGTTACAAATCTAGAAAAGAAAATGTTAGACACTAGCGCATTTTGTAACTGGCTCATACAACTGTGTTCTTTTTTAATAAGAAATGGCTATAGCTGATCCCTATGGATGGGATGTATACTTCCGGTAGGCTATCCAATAGCCTATAGGTAGTCAATGATGGATACTTGCTACATCAATCTTGCTCAATTCAAAGGAAATTCTGTGTTCGTATTGTCCAAAGATATGTACATTATAACTACCTAATTGTGTTCTAAGTTTACCAATTTGATTAGCCCCATCCGCCATTGGATGACATAAGTACAAATGATGACATCCTCAACCTCAACTAAATTGGAAGATGATTTACTTCATGCTACAGGCCTAATCTCTGCAAATCTTGTACCTACATGTTGATCACACTGTGGGCATATTTTTTTTATTGCTTCAGGCACAAATCGGATTAATGATCGTGTTCAAGTAATATTATGCATTAAAATACTAAGTTCACAAATTGCAAATGTTAACAACGCTCCTTCTATGACTTAAATTTTAATGGTCTAAGTTAACCTCTAAGATCTAGTAACAATCTTCTAGAAGTAAAAACTCACTTGCCTGTCTCTGTTAACTATCCAATCTCTGAGGAGGAAGTCAAAAACTTTATGAAACTTGGCCATGGGGAACCTGTGGTTTGGTGGAAGATCACAAACATAACCATGATGATGAACGATTGGCAAACCTCGTAGTTTCTTGATTTGTTCTAACTGTTTAGCGGACAGGGTCTAAAAAAAATCTTTCATTAAATTAAGTTAATAATTAATCTGGAGATCTAGCATTAGATATATCAAGTTAAGTGATATTTTTCTTGTCAAACTAAGTACTATCTATCTACTTTACATGGCCCCCACAAGGGTAGGGCTGGTGCAACTCTGGTCACTACCCTTTTTTTTTTTTCATTGAAGATCACTTTACAGCAGATCATAAATTGAAGATAAAAAATATATATTTTTTACAAAAAAACAAAGTTAAATAATTTAAAATGTATTAATTCTAGATTCTAGGCTAAAAAAACATGTAAAAAGTGTAAAAACATGTATTTGTTCAGCTCCTAACATTGTATATTGTCATATTCTTATTATTTTGTAAACGTTAATAATTGTATAATTGGTCAGTAAGGGAAATCGGTCTCGAAATGGAAATGTAATTTCAGCAAAACAATTTGAATGAGTTACTTTAGTTTGTTTTCAATAATTTGTTAAATAAAGTTTGGTTTTATAATTGAACTGATAGTTTCAAGAACCAATCCTTATAGTTATAAGTTAAAAAATGTGTAAAGCATTGAAAAATTGACATGTAGGCCTACTATGTACCATAGCTTAGGTGACCAGACGTCCCGTTTTAGGAGGACTGGTCCGTCCCGACAAATCCTCTCGGGACGCTTATTCGTCCTGTTTTATCAACATTTGGTCCCGGTTGAACTTTTATGTATGGCATATTTCTTAATAATTGCAATCTAGGTTATTTGACACAAACTTAAAAATTCTTTACTTTTGGAGTTTAAAAAATATGAAAGATTGTAATAATTTTGACCTAAGTTTTCTTCCAAATACGCTCGGTATAATACTCTACAACAGCATCGGTCATTCTCGGCGTTACTCGTGCACATTCGTTTTTCTCCGTGACTACTCGCGCAAGTTCGGCAGCTCAGGCATCCACTCCCAAAAAATGTAGTAGGCCTAGGCCTATTATTAAAATTATTGATGAAAATTGTCACTGAATAAAATATGATTTCATTGGTGTAAGCTGTTAAACTCGATTTACGTAATTTTTTTTCCTACTCCATATTACAAAGTACAATTATAGCAGTTAAGATAGCCAAACCCTTTTACAGGGAAATAAAAAAGACAAAATATTAATAGGCATGGAGCTTTTGTGTATTGATATATAATAGTTTTATTTGCTGAATTCCTGTAACTTTAAGTCTTGTAAAACTCATTGAAGAACTCTTTTCTTCCTTAATAAAGCTGCATAAGTGCCATTTACCACTCACAAATTTAATACCTTAAAAACTCACTAAAATAGGCCTACATGACATTTTAAAAATTTTCCCGGACCCCCCTTCTAGGCAGGGGGGTATTCCATATACCCCCCAGTTAGTGGGGGGGGGGGGGGCCCCGAGCAAGATCCTGGTAACAGGGCCCACAATTAAATTTGGGGGCCATGCTACTATATACTAAAACTTACTGAAAAACAAGAGTAAGTAACTTAGGACTAGTAATGTCTATAATAACCTATTTTTTTAGGATTAAAATTATACCAGAATTTTTTTTACAGTAACTAAGGCCTACTTCAAGCTAGGCCTTGAAGTAGCTGCAGCATCGACTTATTTAAGCTACATAATTACTGTAAAATAAATTAGTGATTGGCTGGATTTGAACCCAGAACCTCAGGGACTAGAATCCTGGGCTCCACCACTAACTTAGACCAACTCGCTCCCCAGTGAGTGTAAGTTGGGCGTAACATAACAGTCCAATATTTTTATAAGTTAATAACAATCTTTTTATCTTTGTCATAGTTGATAGTTTATATTTATACTTATTGTTTGTTGTTCATGTTCATTGGTTGTTATTTATTGATTTAGATTTGTTTTGGAAATTTTCTATTTAAAATGCTTTGTACCTGTTATAAATTAGCTCATTTTAGCAAATTTCCCATAAAGGGAATATTAGCGAATTTCCCATATAGGGAATAAGCTATTACCGTAGTACTCATGGTAAGACCTGGACCCAGGACCGATTTACTTTTTCGTTTTGAGGTCCCTAGAGGCCAAAAACACCATCCGTTCAAATTCATATATAGGTCTATATATATTTATATAGGCCTATGTGTCCGTTAGCGCGATAACTCGAGGAAAAGTCATCCGAGTTTGATGAAATTTGGTACAAACGTGTAAACCTAAGTTTATTCAAACAAGTTCGCAAACCAGCATGATCGGACTATGGGAACAGGTGTTTATGGAGGGTTTTCCGTAAAAATTTGTTTTTCCCATTTTTAACCCTAAAAACTTAATACCCCCGCTGCAGCAAACCTGCAGACTAAGCGAATTTCCATTTGACTGATTGGATTTACACTGAAATGTCTACTTAAAAATATAACATTTATTCTTGATTTAAATAGAATTAGTTTAACAAGTACTTAGATTTGCTGCATCAGGGAGGGTAAAACAGTTTTTTTTTTTTTTATGTGAATAGTTTCGTAAGAAATAAAAACATTTTCCAAATTTGATCAAAATATGTTCACAAGCAAACTACAACAGTTTACTTATTCTCCATAAGAATAACATGGGAATTTTAAATTTACAATTTTTTGGAATTTTCTCCGTAACAATTAGGCGCATAATAACGCTTCAATATACTAAGTTATTTGTTTTTTTAAGCTCTACAAAATGGTTTGGAAAGAAATTGCTAAATTTTATGTTTTTTGGGTCAAAAATGGGAAAAACCTATTTTTACCCCATAAAACCCCCCGTAAACCCCTGTTCCCATGGTCCGATCATGCTGGATCGCGAACTCGTTCGAATAAACGTACGTTTACACGTTTGTACCAAATTTCATCAAAATCGGATCATTTTTGCTCGAGTTATCGTGCTGACGGACACACATATATATATATATATATATATATATATATATATATATATATATATAAATATATATATATATATGAATTTGAACGGATGGTGTTTTTGGCCTCTAGGGACCTCAAAACGAAAAAAAAAATCGGTCCCGCGTCCAGGTCTTACTATGAGTACTACGGTAATAGCTTATTCCCTATATGGGAAATTCGCTAAAATTTAACATTTTCTTTCCAAACCATTTTGTAGAGCTTAAAAAATTAATAATTTAAGTTAGTATATTGAAGCGTTATTATGCGCCTAATGGTTACGGAGAAAATTCCAAAAAACCGTATAAATTTAAAATTCCCATGTTATTCTTATGGAGAATACTTTAGTAAGTTTAACTGTTATAGTTGGCTTGTTTAAGAACATATTTTGATCAAATTTGGAAAATGCATTCATTTCATTCTAAACTATTTAACATTTTACAAAAAAAAAAAAAACACATTTTTACCTTCCCTGTTGCAGCAAACCTAAGTACTCGTTAAATTAATGTTATTTAAGTTAAATAGGGAATAAATGTGATATTGTTAAGGAGACATTTTTGTGTAAATCCAATCAAGCAAATGGAAATTCGCTTAGGTCTGCAGGTTTGCTGCGGCGGGGGTGTTTGTAAATACTGTAATTAACTTAAGCCCATTGTTTTCTTTTTTTGCTTCTGCTCAATTGTATTTATTTGTATTGCATGATTTAAGATTTATTTCGGTCATTAAGTTGTTTACAATAGGCTTCGTCTAACATCAAATTTCACCCTAGGCTATATAATTGTCCTTTGTTAGTCACATTCCCAAAAAATGATAAGTTAGGCTAGAACAAAAGAATTTCATAACTTACTAAAATTATATTAGGCCATAGGCCTACTTCATCTAGGCAAAGGGCAATTTTATCATTATATATCAAATTTCAATAAATTTACATAAGTTAGGCCTATTTTATTAACTTATGAAAACGTTAGGAGCTGCATCCTTTAAATTCACTGAAGACTTCTTGATAAAATAATGTCTAGCCTATTTATACACGATTTATACGGGACTAACCATTATGGCAATACCCATTTCAAGTACATGTTCAACGGCAAATAAATCATTTCATTTCACTAATTCCAAACAATAATTAAGTTAGGCCTAGGCTAGACTTAAAAATTCAAATAAACTGGGACCATAATTTATAACTTAGGCCTACCATTTGAAATTATTATTTGTAAGTCATCACAAGTTTAAGATAGGTAAAATTCACTTGAAGATACTTTTGCCTACTAATTTATAGTCTACTGCATTAAATTATGGATGATAATCAATCAACTTCTAAATTAACTTAGTAACTTTAAATTTCGGATCAAAGATTACAGATTGAGATTACAATAATTTGATCGCTGTTTAAATCAAAATCGTAACAAAACAACAACATAAAAGATTTAGGTTAGAAAGAATATAACAACAACAAAACATTGGATTGAATGTGATTGAATTGGAAGCAAAAGCAAGTAGGCTACAACAAGAAAAGAACAAGAAGACACAAAAAAACAGGGTGACCAACTTTTGGGTTACCTCGGAATGTGGTTGTGACGTCTTTTAACCATAGAATGCTACAGCTAAACTCTGACGACTCTTTGATTCGACTCTTGACTTATTTATTTATTTATTTTACCTTCCAACGGTCAAGAACCAATTTACAATGTGAATTTACAAGGTAAAGTTTGACTTGACACTTGAGTCTTGATTCCTTGAGTAAACTACCCCATCCCACCAGACGTATGATGAACTTACTTAGAATTTGACTTGACATTATTTTAATTTACTTATTAGAGAGGCAGATGTTAGGAATTTATTGATATCTTACTAATATTATAAATCTGAAAGTTTGTGTGTGTGTTTGTTGCTCAATCACGCATAAACTACTGGACGGATTGGGCTGAAATTTGGCATGATGATAGCTCACATTCCCCATTCCCGATTAACATTAAAGCATATTCTTATCTCAAAAATCCTTTCGGGCTCCGCCCCAGTGGCTCTGTAGTTCCCCATGTTAATCTTATGATTTTTCATATTTAAAAGGAACTAGCTGTACCCGCGGGCTTTGCCCCGTTTAACTTCATAAGTATTCGCATGGCTCATTCCGGTCCTGGTTGAAGTTCGTTCGCTACGCTCACTTACCTTTAGGTTGGAGCTCGATCGCTGCGCTCACTTGCCTTCAGTACGTTTTCTGTGCTTCAGGTAAGCTCGTTCGCTACGCCCACTCACCTTTTGGTTGCAAATTAGCTGTTGTCATAAATTAAAAAAATAATAGTGCTGCACCCTGTTGGTAATCAGCTGTTTCAATCAAACAAGTTGGTTCTGTTCTATGATGTTCAATAGCATAAAAGTTACAAGGATTGTCATTGCATAAATAACAAATCTGTTAAGAATATTTTGTATATTCTTTCAAATTACTCATTGATTTTTGGTGCCTATGCCTACATTTGTAAAGCAAAGTTATTAATAATATTTTTAACATTCTAATTAGTTGTAAAATATGTGTTTGAGATAAATGTTTTGAAATGAACTCAAAAAATACAACCTTCAAAGAATATAACCTCTACGTGATGAGGGCTCATTTTCAAGTTCAAGCTAGACAAGAAATATTAGGTAACAATTTGTGTAGTCAAAAACCAAAACATACTGCAGAATTGAACACAAACATTGCCAAAAAAGAAGAATTTGATGTAAAAGAAATTGAAAGGTATAAGATATTGCTTAATTTTAACAACCCAAATTTACATGATTTATACTCAAAGATTACTGAAGTTTGTCCTGAGTTTAGAAGTAAAACGCATTTCTATCTGTACTGGAAAAATTCTGCAAGTGAGATTTTACCTATTAGTAATTATATAACATACCTGTCAATGGTGTCGTTGATTGGGAGTAAAAACAACAATTTATATCTCATAGCAAGAGATTGGAATGATTCATGGTCAAATGACATAACTGCTATTTATACAGCCTTACCTGAAGACAAGTTGTTGGTGAATATGGTCGCACCAAAACAATCTGTGTTCACAGCAACTCAAGAAGAGCAGATGCAAGATGTCAAAGCAGCAGCAAAGACAGAGTTTACCACTACATACAATATTCCTGGACAGGATCAGAAATTATCAAGTAGGAAAAAATCAAATTACAGCAAACTAAAGAAATGAATCTACAGTAAAATAACTGTATTTTTTTAAACCCCACTCTTTACTTGTATGATATGCACAAGATCATATTATTTTTGGAGTTACTGATCTGGATATTTTATTATTCTGTGTAAAAGATAATTTAGGACGGTTTGTTTACAATTTCTATTTACTAGCCATAGATCTAATTAAGAAAAATTAAGAGTTTTACATTACCGACAAATAAAAATATAGACCCTACTGTATTGATTATTTAATCAACAGTCCTGTCTAAGGAAATGTCGGCCTTAGTCAGTAACAACTAACAAGACTACAAGATCATGCCACTCATCTCCATTCATACTCCACTTAAAATACCTATCTTATATGGTCACCATTTCACTTAAAAACATTTAAAGTTAAAGTATAGTTAGAAATGATACTTGTTAAGATTTATTTCAAATAACTGGACCTATGTAATGTATATTCATTCCCCATTTTATTCAATCATGACCTACTATCCTAAACTTGTGAGTTCTAGGAATTATTCAACAAATAACAATTAACATTGGAAAGTTAGGATAGTCCTAACAAAGTGCCTCTTAAATTTTTCTTGCAAAATTGTGGACACATTTTTAGATTACATTATTTCTAAGTATTGAAGTCTGTAACTGTAAATTAAATAACCTTGTTATTACTAGAGTTACTAGCTTACCAGGAAACCAACAGATTTTTGGTGACCAGGCCAAATTGCCTTCAAGTTTATGGACTTGTAAATTTTCCGTGATCTACACCAATTAATCACTTGTGTATGGACCGTTATACCAGCCTATGGTTAAGTCGGTTCCATTTCATTTTTTTTGTTTGTTTTCAATTTAAGTAAGAAAGCCCCAATCACAGAAAATAAAGATTATGTTGCCGAGGCCGTAATGCAAGGCATGATCATGCCACTGTTAAAAACTTTTACTTTGCTCGCTTTTCCACTGTTTCAGTAGTAGTTTTAAGTTTGGGTTCAGACCAACAGACACATCGTTTATGTGAGTAAATAAACAATGAAAGAAACTATGAAAGAAAAAGAGTGAGACAGATATACAATCACCGTGTTTAGCCATCATCAGACAACCAACAGGCCCAAGTCTCCTTGGTAACAACATTTTCATGTCGGTTCTGTGTAACAATACTTTTCTCAACAAAAACCAGGAAAAGGAATTTTGATCATTTCTGTTATACAAGTATAACAAAAGTGTTATGAATTTGACAGAGTTGTTAAATTGCTCAGTTCACAACTGCACGCATGGCCAAAGGGAAAACAGAAAGGTTTGGATTTAGATTTAAATATAAAGCTGATGGCTAGACCTAATTGGTTTTCTCGCAATCACACATTTGTAAGGAGTCATAGAGGTTAGTTTTGTAACTTTTTTGTAATAATATGCAACTAGCAAAACCGGGTTGCTATAACATTGTATATAATGAAGAGGTTTTACCTAATTACACCCAGTGTTGGGGAAGCTACTTTTAAAATGTAGCTAGCTACAACTACTGCTACATTTCCAAAAAAGTAGCTTAGCTACAGCTACAGCTACAGTTCCGAAAAAGTAGCTAGATACAACTACAGCTACAATGAAATGTAGCTACAGCTACACTTTTAGCTACTTTTCCAAAGACGTTACTTTTTGTTTCACGCACATTAGGTAAATGTAAAATTAATTGCAACTACATTTTTATTGAACAAACATTTAAACAAAAAATGTCAGTATTGCATCTAACATTACTTAAGAAAACAAATTATTCCTAGATTGTATTTAATTTGTTGGCATTATAAACTTAACATTACAACAACAGAACCAAATAGTTGGGTGTCCCATCATATTTAGTACTTATTTTTAAATATTGCATTATTTTTAAGCTTCTTATATGTAAATTTCATTGAGTTCAAAGGACATACAACCAAACTATATTTTAAAACCTCATTTTATTTCTTTAATATAGATTCATTTATAGATGTCTTATATCAACAATTAAGACCTATAAAACTGTAAAACAATTATTTAAAAATATTTTTTTGTTTTACAGAGCCTAGCCTACTGAAATTGGAGTTTATTGCCTTCCTTTACTTTTAATGTTAAAACGACATTGCTATAACTTTTAACCATAGTGATAAGTTACTTGTTGTTCTATGAATAACACTTTTCAATGTCAAGAAATCGTCCTTTATTGCTTCAACCTAGTTGGTACTGAAAACAGTATTCAGCAACTTATCCTGAAATCGGCTTTTAATTTGAAATTTCTAAAGTAAAAATAACATGTAGGCCTACTTGGCGGCTATGTAACAAGTTGGCTATAGTAGGCTTGTTCTTGCAAGGACTAAACAGATATATTTATTCCTAATAATTGAACTTTGAACTTTGTATTCGTCTTAAACCATAGCATAGCCTAGGAATAGAACATAGAACTATACAAGAGCTGTTAGCAGGAGCAAAGTATGCTATTTTTTCAATGTAAGTTTCATGTTATATGGAGATTTTTTCGTTACAATTATCATGTAGTCTAGGCATATCTTAAATCTCATCAGGTAATTTCCTCTTTGTTAATTTAGTAAACCTTTGAAAAATCTTCATAATCTAACAAAGGAAGGGCTTGTGATGATGAACCACAATCAACAGCTGAAGCAAAGGTTGATAGACCAACTTTCTCATTATTTTAAGGTTTAGTGTTGGTTTCCATTAAAACCCAAGTTGAAACACGATCGATATAATAAAGAAACTAAATTGATTACTAATTTCCCTGTGAATCACTTGCAAGCATTCAATAGCTTCTCTTGTCACCAGTAACGTTTAAACGTCGTCTGCATCTAGCAATTTTATTTTATCTGACAGTAATCATAGAGTAGTAAATTAAGGAAATGAGAGCCAAAAATGTGGATAACACTCATTTAATGGCCTCCATGTCCACACAACATTGTAATAGGGAATGAAACGGCTGCAACCAGCTGTATGAAGCCAAGAAAGTAGGCTAATTTTTTTTTTAATCTCAGTTTGAAAGAGGTTGTTTGACGTAAGGATGAGGTAACGATAAAAATCACTATCTCAAACAAAGTTAATGTAGCGAGAAAAGTAGCTAAAATTCCACTACAACTACTTTAAAAATGTAGTTAGCTACAGCTAAAGCTACAAAATCTTAAAAGTAGCTTAGCTACAGCTAACGCTACAAAAAAAAGTAGCGCGCTACTGTAGCGTCGCTACTTCCCAACACTGATTACACCTACCTCCTATCTCACTAAAGCTATGGTTCCACAGACTGCGGAATTTCCGTCGTGCGGTGCAAAATTTTCCGCTGAGGAATTAAAACGGCACTGGTTCAATGGAGTTTCCTGTGTCTGGTTCCACTGACGTGCGTTTTTTCTTTTTTTTTTCTAAGAGGTTCGGGACCTCTTTTAATTTAGCATTTGCCCGTCCACATAGACTAACGTAGATCGCATCCAGCAAAGCAAGGGGAGAGCCGGTTCAGTACAAAGGTGAACTGTACTTATAAAATGTTTATGGCAGTGACCAGGATCCGAACCCACAACATCACTGCCTTGAGCCCGAAGTCCGTGGCGCTACCAACTGAGCCATCGACTCAACTTAATAAACGCTGCTCCGGTTTACACGTCCGGAATTTAAGGTTCCGCATGGCGAACAAATCATACTGGTCTGAGAGCAGTAGCAGTGCGGAATCCGCTAGTGGAGAGGAGCTATAAACTATTGTGACCATGTAGTTATTGCAATAACATTGTCTTGTGAGGTAAAAATAGGTGTTTGTGAACGTTTACTCAATTTTAGTTCATACCTTAATGTTACCGCTAGTTTAATCTCGGCATTAAAAAGGTTGTTTGTCTCGATTAGTCGAGCTAGTGGGTAAGTTATGTTTTATGATCTTTATTATCTTTTCTATTTCTCCAAAAAAAATGGTCTTTAGACACACGAAAGTACTGCTTAAACTTTGTTTCATTGCCTACCAAATTTTAATGAACGAGTATGTTGTAAGCTTCTGCGCTGTTCCGGTTCTTAAATATATCACTCAGATCATTATGAGTTGACACTAATAAAGACATAAGATCGACAACATCATGATCAATATCATTATTAAGCATAAAAGAATTGAGGGATTTCCTCTTCCCATCCATACTTGTCACTAGTTTGAACACAAATGAATATTCGCAACATTATTTCCGCAGTCTCAGAGGAACCACCCCTCTGGATTTTACGCGGCGTAGTTTCTGCAGCGGAAAATTTTGCACCGCACTGCGGAAATTCCGTAGGATGTGGAACCATAGCTTGAAGATTGGGGAACTGAAAGAGCAATGTAAAAACAAAAACACAAATTTTACAAAGAAAACTTTACTTGTACAAACCAAGAATAACATTCTATTTTATTGTTGTAATGTAATAAATTTGAATGCTTTACGCTTTTTAGTTCACATTAATCACCACTTACACAAAAATAACATAGTACATTATACAACAGGAATTTATAAAAAAAACAATTAATTAAGTTACTATACAACTGCAAAATAAATTTATCAAAACGGATAGCTGACCTATCTTAATTAGTTCACCCAGTTACTATCATTAAGGCAAAAATCCTAATACAAACTCTCACACCACAATTTAATTCAGTTAAGGTTTAAAACATATCAAATGTACAGTAATAATTAAAAATGCATACCTTATGCATTTAAAATCTTTAAAACATGTCATAAAAATAAAAATAAATGCTTACTATATTCACAGCCAATTCCACTTGTCACTTTATGTCACACAAAACTCCTCACGTCACTGACACTCCAATACTGTATACACAACCAGCCTAACATAATGTTACGAGGTTCGCTTTAAATTAATATGACAATATGTGTAATCTGTGAGCGTACAAATGTATCTACAAATTGAAGACTAGCATCTATGCATAAACAATTCTTTGGTTAGAGAAAATAAACCATTTATTTTACAAATCACCTAATTGTGCTTGGGTGAATTTTTTAGAATATTAAACTTGTTATATGCATTCTGTATGGAATATTAGTATGTTTATAGCCTATGAGGGTCAATCTCAATTTTGTGTTGAAGCACACCAATAAGCAACATCTCAGCTGCTACAATGGGAGGTGTCTCACCCTTCACTTTAAACTTCTTCCACAGATATTTGTCATCTACATGAGACAAAATAACACTATTTTCAGGCCATTTTGATGGAATATTTTCCATATATTTTCCACCACAGCACTCAACGATACCTAGAAAATATTTATGAGAATTAGGATTTAATCAAGATATAGGCCTATGTGTTAATAATATTTAAAAACTTTGAAAGAAAATAACAGTATTACCAAGTTACCAACCAAAGTTACCAAAAAAAAAAAAACAAAAAAAAAAACAAAAACAACCAAAGTTTAACCTGTTCCCTTTTAAAACATTGGCTTTAATAGAACCTTGCATTTGTCCATGCACAAATAAAAGGTGTTTATTATGTCTAAATACAATTTTTATAAAAAATATCATAGAGTATGATGTAACAAGTTAATGAAGCTGAAAGGAACTTTGACCTTATTCCTGCATTCAGACTTTTTCCGAAAATTTTTGGTAAACCACTACCCGACCCGAACCCGACCCGATTTGAAAAAATGCTACCCGCAGACCTCTAGTATTCAGTCACTTAAAATCTAATTACAGCTCACACTTCACAGTCAGCGGCACCATTTTGAATGCTAGAAACCGGATGTATGTGGTAAAACTTATCAAACTGTAGACCGGCGTCCAGCATGGGTCCGTTCAGGTAGACTCCTGGCACTCAACTCCTGTGTCTTGGTCTTTCCTACCCCCTTCCCCTAGTTTTCTAGCTATCGGCGGATTAAACGGTATGAAGCGGATAAGCTGTGACGCGAGTGTCACATCATCACAAGTACAGCATTCTGTTGTTTATTGTTTTACAATTTAAATTGCTCTTTGTTGCTACTCCGTAAATAGATATTCCATTAGATATGTGACTATGCAGTAATGAAAAATATATTATTCTCAGAGTATCTATACTGCAGATCTGAGATATCTGCCTCAAAGCATCTAGGATAAGAAGTAAAATTTTTCACAACATGTTTAACTGACTATTCCAAGTAAGAATTTCAGCAATTATCAATTTAAGAAATTTAGTTTGTACTACTTGCTCTATCCTGTCCTTTTATGTAATGTACACGCATTGACTATTGGATATCGAAGTAGACATCCCATCTATATGGACCAACTCTCACCATTTTTTATTAAAACATTTAGTTGTGTGAGCCAGTCACAGTAGAATGTGCGTCTAAAATTCTATTTTATTTAGATTTTTTCTGACAAAGTACATGGGTCATAACAGTTGTTATAACTCATAATACGTAATTCAAGAAGTTTGACTTGGTAAAAAGCATAGTGTATTCGACAGAAATTATTCATTTACATCAGAGCAATCTGTTGGTGGCTCACATCAACTACAACAAATTTAATTTAAAAACTGCCAACAACTTTAACATGGGGATTGGATGTCTAGTTGTAAGTCAAAGGTACAGGCTTCTCTATTTTCACCCCACACTGTAAATAAAACATGTGATTGTAATTTCTTAAATTTGTTTTGATTTTTATACTGATTTTTGTACTGTTTGTTTAAAAAAAAATCCAGCAAATTTAGTTATAGTATGTAAGAAGCATAATTGATTTATTTTAATTGTTTGTAGTGGTAACATTGTTTCTTTTTTCATTTCCCTCACTAAGTTTGATTTCATTCATAATTCTGTATCTCATGGCAGGCAAATCTCGTAGACATTGTAAGTACAAAATATTATTATCCATTATAATCTAGGAAAGTAAAATCTGAAATTAAAATTTGTATTAAAAATACTATTGAACATGGATATGGGAAAATAATATTCACTGTTGGTTAACCTCAAATACTAAAATGTGATTAATTAGGTTATAAGTATGTTAACTTGCAAAAAGCACATTGTACGAAAGAAAATTGTAATTGAAATTTATATTTATAATAGTTATAGTAGTAATATTTATGCATTTGTATATTTTTTTTACAGACGAGTTCCTGTATTAAAATAGAGCTCTACGGAAGGTCACCATAAAGTAAGATTGTTTCAATTATTTATTTAGGACTGAGATACAGAGGTATAATTTAACTAAATGAAAAGTATATATTTGTTATGATTTCATTTATTTTATTAATAAAATGTCAGTGGTGTACATGGAAATGAAATGGCTTCTTTTTAACTTAGGCTAAATCCTATTGAAGTTATATAGTTCTGTAGTGTAAATTATTACATTTATACTTGTTTATTGGACCTTACGAGTATATTTTCTGTTTATATTTCGTTGTTTCATTTTTATATTTCGTTGTATTTCGTCAACCAATAACCCATAAACAATATAAACAAAATAAATATAAAGCCAATGTTATTTTTTTAAATTTAAAATTCATTTTTTGTGCTACTATTTTAGACTATTACAATTTGTAAAGGGATTCTGCACATCTACAGGAAAATATCTTTCTAACAGTATGCGTAGATTTTCTCTGCGATGCACAGGAGTTGAGAAAAAAGGTTTTCTTTTAAAGAAACATGCTTGTCTATTAATATATAGATGACTCATTTTTGAGCAAAAGACCAGTTCAAACTTTTTGGGTCAAACAATAGATCAGACTTTTGAACTGGAGTGAGCATGTAAACAAAATAGTGTCAAAAATCAACTCTATAATTTTTGCCCTTTTAAAAATATCTATGTAGGCTACTCTTGTACTGTGATATCAAAACTTGTGATGGAAATCAGTTTCTTTGCATTCAGTCACACATCTTCTTTGGTATTGAAGCAACAAGTAAAATTAATTTAGATAACATATTAAAATATCAATAAGAGCAGTGAGAGTAATGCCAGGGCCGGATTTTCCAATAGGCCCGGGCCTATGGGCCCAAGCTCCCAGAGGGCGCACGGCCGAGAGGAAAAATATTTTATAATATCTAAAAAATAAAATAAATAGCCATAGATTAGCATATTTTGCGAGTTGATAAAAAAAAAACTCTTCCCAATAAAGGTTTATAATTTTGAAATTCATTGGAAAAAATAACTATTAGAAAATTTAAACTATTTTTCAACAATTCGCATCAATTTCGTTACAACATTGGTAACGAACATTGGTTATACGGGAGTAGGCTGTAGGGATGTTGTCGAGCGCCCGAGGGGTACACATCGTATTGCCACTGTACTATTTGCACTGCCGCTATGCTGGCTCGGCGTTACTGATCGGAGTGAATAGGGGCGCATGCGTGTTAGACACCGTTACTACCCCCACCTCACAAAAAGAAAATTTATTAACTAATCTTTTGATCAGTTTTTAACAACCTGCAGGGTCAAGTTAAAATATATATTACGTTTTGTTGAATATTAAAAATATGATAAGTTTATCTTTAAAATTCAATAACGAAAAAATATTTATCTGAGTTTGCAACAGGTTTTAGAAAAATTAAATCCACTCCAAAGTGGTGTCATTTTCTCCTCAGCTCAGACCTGAGCCTGAAGATAATTATGGTTCACATGACTATTGCTTTGTTTTGCTTTGCAAATATAATATGGATGAAGTACCACCATAGATTAACCACCATAATCTCAAGTCGACTTCTTATCATATTGTTAATTCTAAATATAGTTTTTCATGTTTAGTTCATAATATGTTGGTGACACTGGAAGTTAGTTTTGACGTAATTTTGTTTCTATTATTTTACGGATAGTTCTATGTTGTGTGTTTTAATTTCTTGTAATATAACCAGGAAACGACCGAATGTTTATGATTAGAACGTTTTATTTTGGACAAACTAGGTTTAAATAACAAATATAAAAAAAATGTTTTCAACTAATCCCTAAGGATGACAAATCGGGTCGCCGGAATTTTATCCCCCAGGAATTTTACCCCCTGGGCAAAGCTGACGTCACGATGACGTAGTAACCTGAGTGGTCAAAAGTTTGTTCGCGGCCGGAATTTTACCGCTGCGAATTTGGAAGTCTAATGAAAATAGCCAGAGCGTGATTAATTAGATTAGCGATAAAAACCGAAAATTTACCCCCTATCCATATAACTAGCGTTTAGACAACTGAAGATGTACGGGCCGGATTTTTACCCCCGGAATTTTACCCCCGGAATTTTACCCCCTGGCCGAATTTACAAATTGAATGATTGATTTTATTGTTTCTGTTTTTAATTAATTGTAAACATTTCATTATTTAGTAGCCTATCTTTATTTATTTATTTTGTAATCTTAACTAATTAAACAGAATTCGCTGTTTAATTTTGATGTTCGGGATTTGCGTTTGGGGCCAACTGTTGGTTAATAGGTACGTAAAATAAACTGAGTAGCTCATTTAAATTATAATTTGGGTGAACATTTCTTCGTAAAGAAACAATAAGGCATATTTTGTTATTGTTACAATACAAACAAAAAACATTGTTTTACCACGGTTTTATAATAAATCGTTAAAGAAATCTTCGAATCAATTACCATTCTGATGTTTGTTTATACGTAATATATTAATCAACAGTTGGCTTCAAAGATCGAATCCTGATACTCGAATCTCAAAATGAAAAACAAAAACCTGTTCGATTAGTTGATGTTACAAATAAATTAAGATAGGCTACTTAATAATAAAATGTTTACTATTAAATTAAAACAGAATGAAGATAATAAATCATTCTCAATAATTTATATATCTGGCCAGGGGGTAAAATTCCGGGGGTAAAATCCAGGGGTAAAAATCCGTGGGGTAAAATTCTGGGGGTAAAATTCCGGGGGTAAAAATCCGAGGGGTAAAATTCCAGGGGTAAAAATCTGGGCTGTACATTCTAGGTTTTTATAATTTAATGCGTTCTGATTAAATTCACAACCGTGAAAATATATGTTTAATTCCACGTTTAATATCCATCGAGCTGATGTCGCGAAACTCAAAAGTTCGCGGCCCGAATTTTACCCCCTGGTTTGTGACGTCACGTTTGCCCAGGGGGTGAAATTCCAGGGGAATAAAAATCCGCTACCACGACAAATCTACTAAAGGAGTATGTTTAATCTATGGTATCACGTAATGTTATGGAGTTCATGATTTGGGGCCTGAAATCGGAATCAATGGATATGCTTTTTTGCAGGAATGCTCTGTGGGTTGGATTGTTTTGTTTCAGTTCCACAAGCGTGAGCATTTGCTAAAAGCATAAAATTGCCAAAAGTGTTTAAGACAGCAATTCTTCAAAAAACTTGCCCGACGAGGAGTGGTGTTTTAATAAAGGTTTGTAGGAAAGAAACTGTGACCAGACTAGGGGGCGGAAAAATCATTCGGGCCTAGGGGCGCCAAAATGCTAAATCCGGCCCTGAGTAATGCTCCAATTCAAGTGCTGACAACTCTGCAAATGAGCACTCAGCACTTTAAACAGCTAAACATACTATCTGTTTACTTACGGGCAAAATATTATTGATTCAATTTTAATTTTTAAAAGCAAACCTCATCAGATGTATCCATTCTACCGGTGCACCAATATGAAAGGAGGGGGAAAACTCTTTTGTTGCAAAATAGGCACAGATTAAAGTTTTATGAAGAAAATAATCATTTGCTGGTAAAGGTTTTACAAAATATATTCTAGAGAAATAAGAAATTAAAAAGATCTAAAAAAATAAAAATAAAACGATTAACATTCTTAATAAACATGGCCATTCATGGTTCATTCTCTAGATGAATTTTTCCACCTTCCTCTTAAGAATACTAGACATTAAGAAAATTATCTATACAGGGAGTAGTATTTTGTAATATTTTTTAAATTGTATTTTTGATTTATATTAATAAGTAATATTTTACACTATTTAAATGCTGCATTTAATTTATACTTCTCAATGAATAAAGAAATCAAAATTGAAAGGATGATGTTTTTGGCCTCTGGGGAGCTTAAAACAAAAAAGTAAATCGACCTGGCTTAGGTCTTACAATGAGACCTACAATCTTATTTAGGGGTATTTTGGTAGGGTCTTTGATTCCCTACATGAGAAATTCGCTAAACAGTATAAATTTCAAAAAGTACTCAGAAATGCAGGTTAGTCACTTTTTAAGCATCTATTCCTATGGTATTGCTGTAATTATGGGCTATTGTAAAAGTAACCAATCCTGCATTTTCTGTGTCTAGGCCAGTGGAATTTTAAATAAAAGTATGACAAACACGTTTAAGGGAAAGCCGTTCAAACCCCCCAAATGTTTAGTGGGTAAGCTTGGAAAGGAACCTGTCGCTCTTTGACCTTAAGTTCGAGACCATCACGACTGTAATAGCAACAAAACAAGCTTTGATTTAGTAGGCCTTCAAACCTACTTATTTTATTTCCATTCAACAAGACATTGGTTGGACACAAGTTTTGAAGTTGCATTCATATAAATATCGCGTTGTACTTAAATGCATAGAAGTAACAATAGTTGTTTTAGTGTCCATCTTGCTGAAGTAATTCTAGTAATTAAATTCGTAACATTACACTAGTCCTAGTAGTACAAATATATAACAATATAAAGTAACATAAACCTTTTTTTACTGAACAAATAGCAATCATTTGAATTAATATTGGTTACAACAATGAATTTAAAACAACAAGTAAAAAGAAAGTGTGAACAAAATTAATGTATGGTATTACTCGTGGCTTTGACTCACTTTTTATATCCTCAGGAGGAGGTTTGACCTTAGGAGTGGCATGGACATGGTATCCTGTTAGTAATTGCTGGTTCTTGGCAGCTTGGAAAGTATGGCTCAGACTAAACTTGAACTTCTCTTCAGCCTCGGCGTCTACCAGTAGGTAGTCTGATGGCTCTGGAGTAACAAACAGGCACATTAGACAGCAGACAGTTTACGACAACACATCTAATCTACATTACAAGTTAAGACACCTGTGTTGCAAAAACAGGACCATACTAGATAGATTAGATAGCTTGCATTTTCACTCAAATCTTACATGGGAAAACAGAATACTACGCTGCTGTGTGGGGAATAATTTAAACCTATTGTCAGTATTCTCCTGTACCTCCTATGATAAAACTTAATGCATTATGTAGAGGGTTGAAAAATACCATTTATCTATAACATACATAAAACATTGCACCAGTGAATGACCTCTGTTAACATCTTAAAATTGTGTTAAACCCGCTCCTTTTCACCAAATAATCCATTCAAGATTCTCACGTTGAAGCTGGACACCCTGTAAATAAGCAAAATAACCATTCCAGGCCCGTAAAAATATAGATCAGGGGTATCCAACCTTCTTACTCGAGGGCCACAATGTACATTTTTGAAGGAAAGGCATATTCACTTATTTCTGTTCAGTGTAGAAAGTCCCCCCCCCCCCTTCATCATAGCATAAACAAAGATGCTATCCAAAATTCCATGTTTTAATAAAATACAGAATGACACAAACTTTTAAACATACTATAAAATTTACTCAAAGAACTTTAAATTGTACTAGTCATAAGAAAGCTTTTTTTTACAAAACGTTTAAAACAATTAACGGTAATGTATAGTAAAATGTAAAAAAAAATATTTTTTTAGGGAATATTGCATTTGTTAATTAAAATTTCAACTCATTTGGAGTTGCTATGCAATTAGTAGTTCTGATAATTAGGACTGACTTAAAATGTTCACCTATCTCGGCAGATCTGTATTTACTTGACTCAGCCCCTACATGTTTCATGCTAATTTTCCCCTACAGAGAAAAAATTGGCAAGTGAGAGACGTCTGCTATACTCATATTTTAACTTGGTGGCCAACCGACCTGGAGACCGGGAATTGAAAAAAATGTTGTTTGGGCAAGAATTCCAAAAAAAGTTATTGAAACTCCAAAAGAAATGTATAAGAATCATGCTAGGTTTGAAGTACAAGGCACATGTAAAGGATAGGTTTAGTGAACTAGGAATTTTATCAGTATTTAATTTATATGCATATGGATGTGTAATGTATGTGAAACAAAACATGACTAATACCAGTTTTCTTGACCATAATCATACTTACAACACTAGGCACAAAAGTGATTTGAAATAAAAAAAACACATAAATTAGAATAAAAAACACATATAAGGGCACCAAATTCTTTAATTGATTGCCAGAAAGTTTGAAAAGTGAGATTAACATTAAGAAATTCAATACAAATTTAAAGGCATTCATGATTGAGAACACTTGTTTTTTAATTAATGAGTTTTTAAATAACAAAACTGGCCTTGTTGGTAAGATTTAGGTATATTGTATTATACTTGTAAATAGGCTAATTTTAATGCACTTATTTTTATTTCTTAGAATTAAGATCTGACACCATTCATTGTACATAAATTGTACATATTATGAATAAAGACATGTTTGATTTGATTTGATCCACAGATATTCTATTGCCAAGCCTCTAAGACATTCATTGACTGCATTCTTATGGTTCTCTTTTAACGGAAGGGAATTACAATCACTAGTTTTTGTTGTTGTTTTTTTACGCTAGGCTTGAGCCTGGAATTGTTTTTCACATTACTTCACTCACTAAGCTACGGTTACAGTCCTGCTGAGCTTCTTTTTGGTAGGAAAATCAGTAGCACTGTTCCTACTTCAGACAAAAAATTGGAGCCGATGTGGCCAGACTTGAAAAATATTAAGGCAAGGGACACCTCAGACAAAGAAAACCAGAAGCGAAACTACGACAAAAGACACTGCGTAAGAGAGCTACGAGTTTTGGTTGGGGGGAAAAAGTGTGGGTGTCTAGCCTGAAGCGATATGGAATAGTGGATGGAACAAATTCCAACTCTAGAGATTACATGGTCAACATCGATGGGAAATTATATAGAAGAAATAGAGTCTTTTTAGTTCCCACAAACAATAGACTCCAAACGCGTGAACAGGGAAAATAAATTTAAAAAATAAGAGAAGGGAAGGTGTAGTGACAGCTGACAGCTGGTTTAATATTATTCATTTAATTTGCTAACAACACATGTTATGATTATTGTTTGTAGTTTATATTTTAGTTGTTACCTAGTTATTGAAATAAAAGATTGTACATTTTTCTTGTGACATATTATTTCACCGCTACAGTTATGTTTTCTGGTTACTGGCCCTACTCATTATGGGGTAGGTTTTTATAAAAAAAACTTATGTTCCCTTGACCTAATAATGGGAGGGTCACCTTCACACAATTTGATAAGGTCATTTGTATTTCAGTTTGTCGATCGTTGGTTGGATTGAGTTAGAACTTTTGAGTTCAGTTTCCAGGAAAGTGTTAGCTTATATAATCCTCTTGTAAAGGATCTGTCTTGAAGTAAACTTTGGCCAGGTTGTCTTGCTCCATTTTCATCTCAGTAATTTCTGTCCAGTTTATTTTTTCCTTGCTGTCATCAAACTGTCTGATTTTCAGAAGTCGTAAATTTTTTGAGAGTTCTTTAAAATCCTTGAAGTCTTATGATTCAAGTTCTCTGACTTTGAAAGGATTTTGCCGTCTAGCTAATGTGAATATGGTCGCAAGTTGAGAGGGTAGGAAGACGTCTCCTGCTTGAGAAACAGCCGTACCAATGGCGCTATGTGCTGAATCTCTCTCACTTTGGCCATGATATGGTTTGAAAAATCAAAGTGATGTAGGCCTACTTTATGTTATTGTTTTGTGCCACTGTAAAGAGCAACATTGCGGCCATTATTAAATTTTTGTTCTGACCGCTGCATCCATCAGCATACAGAACAATGTGTTCTTTGTGTGGGTTTAGTTCATTCAAAGCCATATAAACGCATGTGGATATCTTCATTGATGCCCTTGGGTTTTTGTTTAGCTTCATTAGCTTAGTCTGCAGGTTTGCTACGGCGGGAGTAGGGCCTATTTAAAGTAGTGATAGGGTGAATTTCAATCAGGCTCCAAAGTTATTGTTAAGATCGTTTGTAATAGACTAGGCAAAACCAAAAGCTTAATTTAATATTTTTTTATACAAATTGGTCATCCCCGAGGGCGTTTGGTGGTGGGTCATTTACTGGTGCACTCACCCTACGACTAAAACTAAGACATTTTAACAATTCCTTCATGTTTCTAAATTATAATGTGTTATGATGCAAATAACTAATAGATACCTTACCTATAAAACTAGTACATCTCCAAGACTGGTTGATCCAGTCTGGGGAGACGATTGGCTTCCCCTGTCCCAATACACAGAGGAACTTTACTGTTCGACGGACTTTGTCCGCAACCAACAATGAACAGTCTATTGGGCACTCCACAACTGATCCTCCTGTTGAAAATATATAGATGTTCAAATATAAATTGAATTACCTATCTTTATTTTTTGAATTAATATAGGCTAATATATCCAAATAGCTGCTATACCTGTGCTTTACAACAGGAAGCACACGTGAAAAAGAATAAAGTTATTCATCAGATCTGCTGTATGGAATAATTACATGATCTATCATTGATTTTTTCATCAAAACTGAATTGTACTGCGTAGTTAGATAACATTTTTTTATTCAGGTAAGGGTTCACAATTCCTAGGCTAACTAGTGCAGTGTATAAGTGGCACTATGCGCGTTTAAAAATTCTGTAACTGTAAGATTAATTTGAAAAGAAATGCTTACTTTAAAGTGTTCTTACTTGAAAGAAACCCCTACTTATAATTGAAGTCAATAGAAAGAAAAATCTCAAGCAAGTAGTGTTAGCCATAAAATGATTTAATTTATATTTATAATGTTTATTGTTTGTGAGGTACAACCTGTAATACGGTTTTTGTTGGACACTTAAAATCTGTAGCAATTTACTTTCAAGGGTGTAAAGTGTACGGAAACAAAACAGTTTCAGGCAAATTCAGCTAACTGCTATAGATAGGGTGAAGTTATTAAAATCTTAGTTAAACATGATGGGAACACAATCAACTTCTTCAGAAGAAGAATCTGTTGGTTCAAAAGCAATTCAAGCCAGATTATGAATATCTCGATCCAAATGTATTTAATGAACTTGGACCTGTTCATGGTATCGAATTTGAGACATTTTATATGTAGCTGGGTATTTGGCTGCTGTTCCATACAATTTTAGAATATGTATTGTATAATCTTCAAGAAAAACTGGTAATATTGGAATGAATACAATTAAAAATAAAAACATCACCAATATTTGTGTGATGTGTCTGATGAGTGATGACAATGCCTGCATAGCTGTCACAAGGCCTCATAAAATTAAAAATTCATTAAATATTGGTGATGTTTTCATTTTAAATTGTATGTTATAATTTTTGTCGAGCACCACTAGTTAACATTGTACAAGGCCTACATGATTGTAGAGGTAAATATAAAAAAAGCCCCCCACACACTACCAGACCAGACCGTCTGGCTGCAACCAGACCGTTTTGGACGGCTCTACACACTCCCAGACCGGACATTCGAACATTCTTAATTGAGACACCGTGGTGAGAACTCCAACAAATGGATAAAGACTGTCGTGACAGTCGTCCGTCTAACAGACAGCGCTACACACTCACAGACCAGACAAAAATAGTGGTGGGGGAACCTAAGACCATCTGTGGTCTGAGGGTTCAACCATCCAACACGCAGACAGTCTGGTCCGAGACAATTGGTCTGCAGACAGCCCCACAAACGATAAGACAAGTGCCAGACGCCAGACCAGACGGTCTGGTTTGGAGGTCTGGTCTAGTAGTGTGTGGGGGGGGGGGGGGGGGCTTAAGAAAAAACTTTGATATAAACAAATGTCCTAAAGTGCCTAGTTTTCTGTCTTTGTGTTTGTTGTGTTTTTTACATAATTTATAATATCTTACAAACCTCCTAAGGTACTTATTAAATTCAAACTTGGTATGTGCATGTGGAATAAAAATAGTAGGCCTATTTCAGAATGGAGTTTCAAGTTTGTACTTAGTACAATTTCAAAATAGCAACCGTTTTTTGTTTTTAAGGCTAAATATCTTAAAAACAATTTCCCATTAACTCTGATAATAAAGATTATGACAGTCGGACAACTAACAGTGGAGAAATCTCAGATTTTCTGAATAAAAACACACACATTTTTAATATGCGGTCCGAATTGCAATAATCAGGTTGGATTTTTTCATTTGGTAGACACATCTACCAAATTTATACGCCCAGTCGTTCTCTCAAATTAGTGGAGACAAAGAAAAACAGTTTCCAATTAAATATATGGATTACACCTTAAATTAAATTTAGTGTTAAGTTGTTTCTGTATGATGTGTATAATTATATCACTGTATGACGTGTGGCACATTGTGAGTTTTTTTACCATACAATGTTGAATGCAATTCACTGTAGTTCACTAAATATTTTAGTTTAGTTTATACTACAGAAAATATTACCAAGTTTTTTCACTTGAGACTCCCATGCAGAGTTCATAAGACCAGATGTAAACAGGACCTTTTTCCCTTTTGTTCCTGACCTTCGAGGACTGTGAAGCTGAAATAAGGAAAAATGTGAAATAAGACATTGCCAACCGAAAAAATTTTAAACCAATTTCTAAAACTTGAGTGTAGAAATAGGATTCATAAAACATGATTATAAACTGCTGGAGGGTACTTTAGTCCATTCACAAAATTTAGGCGGTTTGTGATGAAGTTCCCCACCACATGCCCCAAACATGCTAATGTTTCTAAACATGCCTCTACGGTACAAGCTCTCAACACTCTAAACTAATTTGTTTCCAATTATTGTTTGCTTATTTGTGCTCTTAACATATCAGAGCTTGCAATGGGTGGGGGTAAATTAATGTTTTACTATTATTTAGAAGCTAAAATCACAAGTGAAAAAGACTAATTTACGGATTATCAAAATGATTTTGTAAATTTTTCAAGAAACAATTCAAGTTTCAGTTCATCCAGGGCATAGTTTGGATCTTTGAAAATATTTTACTGTATATTTCAACTCGATAAACACTTAAATAATAAGAGATCCTTTTGTTTAGGACCATGTTTATGTGGTAACCAGCCGGCGGGTGAAATCCTCTTAATATATGATGTATGTTGCAGCTGGTTGACAGTTTGAATAAATTTTCTTTATATTTACTTGTTTTTGTTTATGTTTTCTGTTTATATTTTACTTATATTAATTAGGAATTATTGATTAAAGTGCCCCATAAATGTAAAGACTAAGATAACAAGTTGAAGCAAGAATATATAGTGTATACAGTGTAGATGATATCAGCCTTGGAAAAGTTTATGACAGAATTTTAAATTCCACTATTTAGATTGATAAAAAGCATATTTACATTGATCAACATACTTTGAAGGGTATTTAAACTAAAGTTAGTTTATTTGCAAAGACTGGTGACATTTTGGAATTTTACTTGTTGAGATTGATAAAAATATTATTTTTGAAGCTTTTCATTTATTTTATTTTTTTAAATTTGTATTATCTTATTTACCTAGTTAAAACTAGATACAGTTTAGTACAGTAATTGAGAAAAAGTTACTTACTGAAGAAGGAGGGTCACTTCTCATTGAACTTTGACTAGAATCACTTCTTGATCTACTTCTGGATTTTTTGTTTTTTGTTGTGTTTGATGTAGTCCTTTCTCCTCCAACAACAGGAGTCTTAAATACTTCACTGTGCTTCTTGCCATGGTTCATAGTTGAATTTGAAGGATCACTCATAACAGACTCAAAGACAGTTGTATCTTGCATTTTCTTGGATTTTTTGTTTGGGGAAAGACCTCTATCACTAGATGACAGAGAACTATTGTCTTCATTTTTATCTCTGAATCGAGCTGGTTTAACTTTTGGACGTCCAGAGATTCTATGGCTTGTTAATTTTTCTTTATAGCCTTTACTAGCATTCAAGTTTTCTAATATATCATTGTTTTTGTTCTTACCAGTAAGTTTCGTTTTTGTTGTATCTTCAACAGAGTCAACCTGTAAACGTTTCTTTTTTATACCTTTGTTATTTGTTTCACTAGAGGAAATGTTAGAGGTTGTTTCTTCTCTGGATGATTCATCTTTCTTTTGACTACTTTTTCTTGCATTAATCTCAGCAGACGGCTCAATTTTGTTTGACATTTGTTTGTTTTCTTTGCACTCTATCTTGGAAACTGACTGCTTTAGACTGTCTGCTTTGTCTTTCATTCTCCTATTACTTTTTCTAATGTTTGGTTCAGCAGTACCAGTGTCAGGAGGTTTGGTGGAAGACCTGTTGATGACTTCTTTTTTCTTTGCTATCATTTTTCTTTTCTTTAGACTAGAGTGAATGCTATCAATGTTTACTACAAGTTCTTTGTTTGACAAAGAGGTGTTTTCTACTACATTTGAAACAACTCCAACTGATGTACAACTATTCCTTGTTTTAACTTTGTCTTTATTGCTAGACAAGACAGGTGCTTGTTCAGAATGTTTTGATTTTTCCACAGGCATCATATGTTCCATATCATCCTTTTTAGTTATTCCTGAATGATTTTGTTCTTGTTCTGGTTTTTTAGCTGAACTATTTGAGACAGAAGATGTATCTTCATTTTTCTCAGATGATGTTACCTTTCTCCTTCCCCTACTACTTCTTCTGACGGTTAACATTTTTACGTTAGAAAGCTCTTTAGATTGTGTATTAGTTAATTTTGAGTTCAACTTATTTTTTGTTTTTTTGTTATCTAGTTCTAGTTGGTCGAGTTTTGTTTCCTTACTTTGTGCCAAATCCTTGCTTGGTACATCAACACTTACACTGCCATTTGAGTCTGTATCATTCTTTTTAGAATGTAGTAGTGAAACATCACTGTTTCTTGTTGATCGTTCAGCTTCATTTGAAAGTGTTACTTGGTTTTCATTTTCAAGTATAGGTTTTATAACTGATTTCCTTTTTGTTAAATTATTTTTTGATTCTTCACGTTTATTTTTGTAATTTTTGCAGGCAGTTTTTATTACTTTCTGAATTGGGCTTTCTTTTATTTCCAATGTATTATTTATTTGCTGGTCATTACTGATGGGTTTCTGCTTTGAAACATCACTTACAGCTTTTTCTGCTTGGTCTTCCACACCTTTTTCAATCAATTTTGTATTCTTGGATCTCTTGGCTGGAGATTGATCATCGATGTCAGACTTATTTGAGTTTCTCGTAGTATCTTCGTAATTAATCTCGACTGACAACCTCTTTAGAGGAATATGTAGTTTAACTTTGTTTTCAAGCATGTTGGACTTAAAGGATTGTTTATCCGCTATATCATTACTGAGTCTTTTTTTTTCAACTGACTTTTTGTGGTTGTTTTTTTCACATTTATGATTCCTCCCAATCTCTTCTGGGTCGCCCTTTTTGGTACTACTAATAGTTTTATCTTCATTTTTATTCATGTTTTTATCTTTTCTTGGCAATTTAGGAGGTTTTGAACAACTAACTTGTTCCCCTTCTAAGGATTCAGCTACTTTTTTTGACACTTTTCTTACCCTTGGTGTTTTATTTAATGCCAAAGGTAGATCATCTAATTGTTTATGTTGGTCTGTTGTTGGAAAGAGACAATGCCTTTCTGGTGTATTATTTGCAACTTTGGCAAGATCTTCTGTGCAAGGTAGATCAGGACTCTCTATCACACTGACGATTCTTCGGGGTGGTGTTTTTACTATAACGTTCCTACTAGACTTCTTATTGTTTGGTACTGCTTCAATTCTGAATGGGGTTGATGATCCACAAGGTTCATCAAATATTATACTGTGATTTAAAGCTTTGGACACATTAGGCAAATGCTGTCCTTTTACAGTCGAATCATTAAGAAGCTTTCTTGAACTCCCGAAAGTTGACACATTTGTACCATTTCCGACTGTCGAACAAATGTCCATGTCTCCCAAGGTCATTACATCATCTTTATTTTTATTTGAGGATTCATCACTAACAGCTTGTTTGGGTTGATTATCAATCCTCTTGTCACTCTGAGGATCCTCACAACTTAAAGCTTGCTGAGCTTCCTGTTCCAACTGCTCTAGTGGGACCAATGCAAGCAGACTATCAGACTGATTACTGCTTTCATCTAGGTCAGGGTTATTTCCAGAACTCATATTCCGAATTGCATGGGGATTAACAATGTCCTTTTCTACTTGGCTACCCAAAATAATTTTGTCGGGATCACTTTGCATTTGTATAGGCCTACAGTCATTTTCTATTTCATCACCCTTATCAATGTTTGCTTCGCGGCTTGTCCTATCATGTCTGCTGTTAGTTTCTTCTTCTGCACTGGTTTTTGATTCATTTACAAAAGAATAAAGCTGTACATTTATTTGGGTTTCTTCTGATTCAAAGTTTTTATGGTCACTAGCTTCATTGGTATACCTGTGTCTACTTATTCTCTGTTTTTGGCCAGGTATATGATTTTCTATGAGATTTAGATTCAGTTGTGTTTCTTCTAAAAGATTTTCATCATCCACTGGCTCTGATTTAGTGCATACTTCTTGTTTAACACCCGGATTTACTATAGATGTGGTTTGTAAAGACGTGTTAACTTGTGTGCAAGCATTGTAGATATCATCCTCTAATTCTACATTATTATCTGATTCTGTTGGACTGATTGATTTGTGAGATTTGCTAAGTGATTTACCTTCTGATTCAGCCTCTAATTTTTCAAATTTAATATATTTTACCAAATTAATTTGAGGTCCCTTATTCAGAGATTCAGAAGATGTGTTGGAAAGAATTAAATCACTCATTTGTACATTTTCATCAATGTGCGGTGTGACCATTTCTGTATCTGCATCAAATATTTCTGTAGAGATTACAGGATTTATTTCCAAAAGTTTTTCCTCATTCAAAACACATCCTTGTGTTTCTGCTTCAAATATAGTTTGATCCTCTATCTTTGGCGGTTGTTGAATTTCTGAGCTAAACAAGTTTTGTGTATTTTGATCAGGCGAAATAGCAATTTTATTACAATCAAGTTTTTCTGTCATGAAAAACATATCTTGATCTTGAGTGTCAGCCATGGAAAAGATGTCTTCAGATATGTTATTAATATGTTTTCTTTTGGAATCTGCCTGTTTTTTTGCCACAAACTCTTTAACAGTTTGAGATGGCGGAATAAAGTCTAACTCATCTTCTGTTGAATCATCTGAGTCTTCTATAACTTCGATCCTGCTTGAAGATGGTTTGTTTTTGTTCTCTTCCAAAAGAGAGGATTCATTTAGGTCGGAGTTGTCATTTCCATTACAACTCTCATTTCCATGAATCTCCTGAAAAATCACTTTGAATTAGTTGCATTAATATAATATTAGGAAGAGGAAGTATGAGAAGAATAAACAAGTCAATAACAATTAATTAGTATACTTTTTAAACTATAGAGCTATCTCAAAATTCTCTCACTACAGGTACTTGACATTTAAAAGGCTTGAACCAGGGGGAAATGCAGCTTCCAAGCGACCCAGAGTTTTGACTATCTTGTAACTTTGATTCCAAAAAATAGTGATCAGTCAGTAGCACATTTTTAGAGATGGTACTGGGACCGGTAAAAACCAGGACACAAAAATAAGGGGAAAAAGTACTGCTTTAAATCACAACAGACGAATGTCAATTCTGTAATAATCATCAGCTATGAAATTGGTCTTGCCTTAGTTTAAACAAATCGTATTGAAAATAATAAAAATTATTAGATAAGTCGTTATAAAAGTGTATAATCATAGCCAACTTAAAGATAATAAAAACACTCGTAAAAGGAATGTTAAGATAACGATGTTTCTATTCTTTCTCTTTGCTTTGTTCTTCTTTTTTTTTCTTTCTTAGGTTTTTCTTCATCCAAAAATTGTACAATTCACCATATTTATTTATTTTATTTATTATCAATCGTCACAATACATCAAATTAATTGACAGGTGATTTGTCCATGAGTCTTAATTAATACTAAAAGTAGACTAAAATTAAAAATGAGAAAATTAAAATCTATTTTTGCTCTGATAAGAATTCATCGACACTTTAAAAAGCCTTCTCCAATAACCATTTTTTCAAGGTTTTTTTAAAGCTAGCTACGGACTCTGTGTTTTTAATGAATGTGGGTAATTTGTTGTAAATTTGTGGTCCCATATATTGAGGGGAGAGGTGGAACAATTAAAGCCTATGTTGAACCGGTTTGATTAAATTTTTAAATCTTGTGTTATGAGAATGGCTATCCATGAATAATCCTATATCACCCTTCACCATTAAAGCGAGTTGATAAATATATGAACTATATAAGGTTAAAATTTTAAATACAGTAATATGAACAAGTCTTTACAGTGTGCAGTCTTAGGAACTCTTGCGATCAGTCTGATAACTCTTTTTTGAAGAGTTAATATTTTTTTAGCCCGACAGGAAAATCCCCAAACAATTAATCCATAGTTCATAATAGAAGAAAAATAAGCGTGATATGTCTTTAATTGTGTTTCTAAATTTGTGGTATCGAATTACACGAATAACAAATGTGGCAGAGACTAGTCGTTTTGAAATATTTTTAATTTGTTTGTGCCAATTAAGATTTGAATCAAGAGCTATTCCAAGGTAGTCTACAGAGTTTTCAGTTTGAATAAGAGACGAGTTACAATTTACTGAAATATTTGAACTTAAACTAGAGGGTGAAAACTGTATGAATTGTGTCTTTGACATATTCATTGAAAGCCCATTTACTGAAAACCAGTTCTGAAGCGATTGAAGCTCTTTGGTGATAATGAGATGCATCGGCTCGTCGGTTATGCCTTTGCAGATGAGAGCAGTGTCATCTGCATATTGAAAAATACTCATTTTTGGGTACTTACGTATTAAACGGAGGCCACATTTTGTCAGCGCGCTGCGGCGGTTATGTTAGGTTGGGTTATCATAATAGAAAGTATAACTCGTCTGGTATCGTTCGATTCATAACGAAGCGGTGAAAGTCCTACACACATAATATTTACGATAACCCAACCTAACATAACCGCCGCAGCGCGCTGACAAAATGTGGCCTCCGTTTAATACGTAAGTACCCATTTTTGTACTATTGCAAATGTCATTAACGTAAATAATAAATAAGCAAGGGCCTAAAATTGATCCCTGGGGTTATCTAGATATGATTTTTAAACCATTTCAGCTCAATATTTTTTACACCAAGTCTGCTAAGTTTTTCAACCAGTATATTGTGATCAACACAATCGAAAGCCTTGGACAGATCACAAGTACACCTACCGTCTGTTGAGATCCATCCAAGGCCATCGTGATGTTGTCAATCACATTGGAAATTGCTTTCTGACTACTTAAATTTGATCTAAAGCCAAATTGTAATGGGTTGAATAAGCTATTTTCTTCCAAATACTGAACCAGTTGAATGTTAATAATTTTCTCAAAGATTTTTAAAAAACATGGCAACAAAGCTATCGGCCGATAATCAGAAGGATTGTTAACATCTCCTTTCTTAAACAGTGGTTTCACATCAGAGAATTTAAGTTTGTTTGGGAAAATGCCTTGCTTCCAGGACTGGTTCACTAGTCTGCAAATAGGTCTCTTTATGATTTTAGAGACTTTTTTAATTACTAATAGGGGAATTTCATCCCACCCACAAGACTTTGTGTTTCTCAAAGACCCAATAACATCTTCAATTTCTTTATCAGAGACACTTTTGAATTTAAATTGTAACTGATCCTGACTAAGTTTTTTATTAACTTGAGCTTTATCAAAAAGACCCATTGCTTTGCTTATGTCTTGCCACATTTACAAAAAAACTATTAAACTGGTTTGCCAACGATATTAAGTAGCTTTGCTCAGTTCCATCTCCTCCTGTTATTTCAACAGGAGTTTCAGAAGAATGTGTTTTAAGACCAAGCTCATTTTTCACTACTGTCCAGGAAGCTTTTATTTTATTAGTTGATTTTTTGATAAAATTATCATTTGCTTTAAGTTTTGCTAAAGATACAACCTTTTTAAATATTTTTTTATAGTTTTTGAAATAAATTAAGAATGTAGGGTTATTATTTTCTTTTGACACTTGGTGTGAATATTTTTTCTCTCTGCTGAAATTTTAATTCCTTGAGTGATCCAATTTTTTTTTTTTACTTATGATTTCTTGTTTCAACTGTTTTTGGAAACGCTTCATTAAACTAATTGTATGTCCCAAAACACATTTGAATATAATAATAACTTTTATACCCAAACTGAAGGAACGGCTATGGGAAATCCACTATCATGTTTTATAGCAAACATATTTATGAGCCATTTTGAAACAAAAGCAAAAGAAGAAATGACGTATTTTCCAAGAACATGGTTAAGGTACGTAGACGACATATTTGCAGTTTTTGATCGGAATGAAAACCTTAATGACTTTGTCAACAAATTAAACTCCATATATCCATCAATAAAGTTCACATATGAGGTTGAAAATGATAAGAAGATCTCATTTCTGGATGTACTAATCCTACGGAAAAATTAAAAGCTCGAGTTTGATATTTACAGGAAACCAACCCACACCAATAGGTTTATCACTCAAGATTCTCATCACCCTCCAGAACAAAAAAGATCAGCGTTTAATTCAATGGTATATCGCCTCTTAAATACTCCACTGTCCCAAGAAAATTATAATAAAGAGCTTAACTACATAAAAGGCGTGGCTAAGTATAATGGATACGAAACCAAAATTGTAGACAATATGTTGACAAAAGCTTTAAAAAGAAATGAGAAAAAGAAAAGAACTAAACTGGAACCAATCAAAGTAAAGAAGAAATGGGTAAGCGCTACCTATACTAAGATATAAAGACGATATAAAGACGTCAAGAAAACGTTTCAGAAAAATGCTGAATTAATGGTTTCATTTAGAGCGAAAAACAAAATTAAAAACATTCTTGGAAATCCAAAAAGTAAATTAGAAAATACATCAAAATCTGGCATTTATCAAATTCAGTGTGACAGTTGTGAGATGAAGTATGTTGGACAAACAAAAAGAAATATTAAAACTAGATTCAAAGAACACACTTCTCACATAACACACAACAGACCTGAAAAATCAGCAATAGCAAAACATTGCTTAGAAACGGACCACACAATATCAATCAATAATACTAAATTACTAAAAAATATAACAAAATCCAATGAACTAAATGCATGGGAATCATTATTTATAAATAAAATGGACAATTTGGTAAATAATGATAACGGTCCAATTCAAAATGTTACATTACTAAATTCTAAATTTACAAAGTTATAAGTTAATTCTACTTGATATTTCATTTTTATACATATATGATTTATTTTTGTAACTTTAGCTAAATGTACTTAACAGAATAGTTTTTATTTTTAACTACCCATCCCATATGTTATATTCTTTAAAATTTATAATTGTAAACATAAACATAACCTTCAGTTTTGTGATGTGTCTGATGATGCTATTGTTTGAATAGCATAGCTGGCGAAAGGCCTCATAAAAATAAAAAATTCAGATATATTGGCGAAGTTATTATTTCAAATTAGTATTGTAATAGTATATCCTATTCGAGGCAACCAACAATTAGACATTGTTCATTGTTGACCAAGCTCCAGTAATTGCCGTAGACTTTATGCCTAGAATTTTGAGGATTAACTTCCCGATAAAATTTATACGTTAAACGTCATTACAGAAATACATTTTAGTAGTTTTGAATATGTTTTTAAATAGAACTATTGAATTTAAATAAATATTAATCAATACATTATAAAGTGGTAATGTATTTATGTATTGTATTAAAATTTAGTCCATGCAAAAATACAATTTGTAAATTTCTGTTATCGTAGGCTATTAGTGCAGAACGGGTCGTCTCTTAATTAGCTAATATTAACTTTACATCTTTCAGTACTTTCTAAAAGTCTGGAGTTGTCATGCTTTGGTTTGAACTATTAGGCCTATATTTACAGCTATTCTATAAATTGTTAAGAAACATAGCCTATGTCATATTTTCACATGTAAATTGGACGATCCAATGACGAACCTTTAATTTTAAATCTAAGAATTAGTTATAAAAGTGGTTTTGGATTACGACATCACAATTAAATTTGCTTTCAGTGTTTGAGAACTTGACATTTTGAAATATGGCCGTGTACTATTATCTCGTCGTACAAGGTTGGCAACGCTCCATGCAGTGGACGCGGCCGGGTTAACGACGTCCAGTGTTAGCGAATTCCGCCGCGGTACAAAATCGTGTTAGCGGGTTCTGGAGTTAGCCAATTCCTGACTGAGCCGGTTAGCCAATCCTAGAGTTAGCCAGTCTGACACACGACCGAGTTAGTGAGTTCCTGAGTTAGCCAATTCCTACGTCTCCTCTCAACCCTGCTACACCCTTTGTACAATCTACTCAACAAAGATGTAAAGTGGGACTGGACCAACCTATGTGAAAATTCGTTAGTACAAAGTAAGAAGATGTTACTTACTAATAAAGTATTGATGCCCTTTAACCCCGATCTTGAAATCATAGTTAAAGCAGATGCTAGCCCCTATGGAATTGGTGGATTGTTGTCTCATCAAATGGTCGATCGGTCAAAACGCCCTGTTGCATTCACATCGAGAACTTAAACGGTACATGAAGTCAAGTATTCCCAAATAGAAAAAGAAGCATTGTCTTTAGTCTTTGTGGTAAAAAAATTCCACACAGTTTTGTATGGTAAACACTTTCTGTTAGCAACCGATCATCGTCCATTGACAATTCTATTAGGACCTATTAAGTGTATTCCAACTTTGGCAGCAGCTAGAGTACAGCGATGGACGCTGATTTTGTCACCTTATAGTTACGAGTTAACTTATCGCAAAGGTTCAGACATGTGTCATGCCGATGCACTCAGTCGACTTCCATGTGAACATGTTAAGCCTGGCCCTGAACACTGTGTAGCGTTCTTTTCAAGTGATGATGAGTTGCCTATAACTCATCAAGAGATTAGCTACAGTTAATGACCCGAGTTTATCAAAAATCCTTGATTTTGCACTCCATGGTTGGCCTAGTCATATGGATGATGCTCTAAGACCCTATTTCCTTAGAAGGGCAGAAATTTCAGTTGAACGAAATTGTGTATTGTGGGGGAGGAGTAATAATTCCAAGTCCATTCCGTAAAGAGATCTTGAACTTGTACATCAGGAACATCCTGGGGAATCTAGGATGAAGAGCATCGCTCGTAGTTATGTTTAGTGGCCCAAGTTGGACCAAAACATAGAAGAAACTGTCAAAGAATGTAAGATCTGTCAATCTACCCGTAACACAACTCCATTAGCTCCTTTACAGCATTGGGTGTGGCCTAAGCATTGTTGGCAACGCATTCATATAGACTTCGCCTTGTTCAAAGGACAAGAGTTTCTCATAGTAGTAGACAGCTACTCAAAATGGTTGGAGGTTTTTTACATGCAGACCACGAATTCAGCTAAAACCATAGAAAAACTCCGATCATATTTTGCCACACTAAGCCTACCTAGCACTTTGGTAAGCGATGGAGGTCCACAGTTACTTCCAGGGAATTAAATGATTTTCTTAAAAGTAATGGGATCCTACATGTAGTCACACCTCCATACCAACCTGCATCATCAAATTGTTTGGCGGAGAGGGCAGTGCAAACTACTAAAAGTGCCTTTTTGAGACAGCTGCTACAGGATGAAAATCAACAATTAAAACGACCTCTACAACATCGTATTGATAGCTTTCTATTTGCTTACCACAATACCCCTCACACGGCAACTGGATTAACCCCAGCAGAACTTATCTTAAATTTCAAGCCCAGAACTCGGCTTAGTCTTTTGAAGCCACACTTGGCAAAACAAATGAAGATTGAAACTGTTGCTAATAAACATTGAGGATCTGAGAGATCATTTCTAGTAGGCCAATAGGTATTTGTTAAAAGTGTACGGCAAGAAGAACTAAACTGGCTACATGGAGTAGTGACCAAAAATATCAGTAATGTGACTTATCTGGTAAAAACGGAATGTCGTAGTAGGTTTGTACATGCAGACCACCTGCGGGCAAATTACTGTAACTCAGAAGAGAATATCGTCGTCTTACCTGCTAATGAGTATGAAAAAGCGACACTGAGAAACACCCCAGAAAAATGTATCAGTTCTCCTCAAGAGGAGAAGTAAGAATAATTCTCCCATCAAAGAGACCACTCCAGTGGTAACACAAGAAACACCTCAAAGTTCACCTAGCAAGACTCAGGAGTTAGGACCGAGTAGTCCAAAAGTTTTACCAGTCCGTCGTTCACAAAGAGAGCGGCGAGAGCCAAAAAGACTAGATTTATAATTTTAAGATTTGATACCCTCCCAGGAAGATTTTTATTTTAGTTTGTTATTTACGTTGGGAGGGAATGTTATAAAGTAAAAGTGCTTATATTATTTTATGTGTCAAGAAGTCAAAGTTTTATTTTAATCAATTATATAGTACATATATGGTAGGCCTAATATTGAAAGAACCAAAAGCCACAGCAAGACGTAGAGATTCAAATAGAGGTCAACAAGGTCAAAGGAGAGACCATCGGAAGAAGGGAGACAATCTCTGTCTTGGAATGAATACCGGTGAGTTGAGTTATCTGTCTCTCTGTTCCGTTCCGTGTTCTATCGTTTTAAGTCTCGGCTACTTTACATATAAAGGAAAAATGAAATTGAAAATTGTGTCAGCACCTCAAGGGGGTGTGGTAGAAAATTATCAGCAGACTAATAGTTTGTTATTGTTTATGTTTTTATGTTGAATATTTAGGGGAGAGGTCAATTTGTGGTTTTAAGAGGAAGATTTTTTAAGTTTTTTTTTTGTGGTTTTGAAGTAGAAAATATAAATATGTTGCAGATATAAGTTATAAGAATTTTATGACAAATTTAAGGTTAGCCCCCATATTGGAAAAAATAATATCTATGGGACTATGTATAAAATCAGATTCATATTTTTTTCACTTTATTAAAATATTAGTTTAAGTTCTCCATAAAATTGTTGTGTCAATTTCTGATATAGGTCTACTAATGGTGGCACAGTAAAGTTGATTACCCTGTACAATAGTAATAATGTTGAAAATAAAAGAGAAAATTGAAGTACCTTACAGGTGGGTAGAGCTTTCTCAATTTCAATATCTGCATCTAAATCTGCAGGCACTGTAAACATAAAAAATTTAAATGTAATAAACCGAGAACATATTAATATTAATAACAATAATGCAAAAGTAGCATTGGATTTCCAATCAAATTACCAGAAATACGTATTACTATATTTTATACAATAAGGGTTTTCTATGTTACATAGCTTTTCCAGCCGTCCTACTTAACTGTTTTTTTACGATTGAGGTGTCATTTTAAAGCTTATTACCTAGCGGAGAGATGACTGGTAACCAAATACCCCCGCCGCCGCAACAAAACTGCCGACTAAGTGAATATCCATTTACCTAATTCGATTTTCAATTAAATCTATTTAAATAACACTAGAGGACCCATGATAGCGTTAGCTCCGCAGCGTTAAAATAAATATAATATCCGAGAAATAATCAAATTTGTGATTTTTAATTGAGTAATACAGTATCTTGAGCTTACCTGATTCAAACGATCAATAGCTAAAATTAAAGCCTATAATTTAGTGATTATTAAAAGTCTAAAACACATAGAAATTAACAATACTGGAGCTATTGGTTTTTAATCATAGAAAACCCTTATGAAAAATAGTTTATACAGGGTGACTGCCGGGAACCGGACGAATTTGCAACAGCTGTTACATTGTTGCTACACGTGCTAGGGAGATTGAGGTTATGTCATTGTTTTGAGTGAGCTTTACCATTTTAGTCACGATGGATCAGTGGTCAGTGCAGCATCGTGTTTTTGCATATGACACATTTATTAAAAATGGCGAATCCATTATCAAAAACACAGCGTATCTTCCGACGCCACTTTAATATTGCGCGAAATGACACGGTTCCAAGCCGGAATACATTGCTAAAATGGGTGCACAAGTTCAGAAAAACAGGAACAGTATCAAATAAAAAGCCACCCGGTCCAGCAAGAACAGTGAAAACACGACAACATCGCCACAGTGAGAACTGCTTTGATGAGGAGCCCGAAGTTTTTTGAGGAAAATGGAGTCACAGTGACAGTGAATTCTGCACGCTATGTTCATATGTTGGAAACATATCTCAAGCCACAACTTCGGAGGCGAGGAATAAACGTGAAAAATGTTTACTTCCAACAAGATGGGGCCACAGCACATACTGCCGCTGCATCGATGTGAGTTGTGAAGAAGATGTTCCCTGGCAAGTTGATTTCACGTTTTGGTGACGTGCCGTGGCCGCCGAGGTCACCAGATTTGCCGCCCTGTGACTATTTCTTATGGGGGTATTTGAAAGCTCGTGTCTATGTTCACAAACCACGAACATTATTGCAGCTAAAAGATGAAATCACCGAAGAGGTGAATTTGATTGGGCAAGACATGTTGATGAGAGTGCGTAATGATTTTCTCCAGAGGTTGGAAACCTGTATCCAGGCCATCATATGCATGATATCATCTTTAAGAAATAAACCCAAACTAGGATAAAAGGTTCCATAAAACATGTTTTTTGAAATGGTATGTTTTCACCAATATATATTCAACAATTAAATAATTTTACTATACAAAATAAGGTTGTACTATTCATTTAAAAAACGTCCGGTTCCCGGCAGTCACCCTGTATGTTGGTTGTTCACCTTTTGTTTGCTCGAAACTCGTCCAATTTGAATAACTAACAGCTTAAATGAAAGGCGGTATTTAACTGGAGGTTCTTAGACTAGAATGTATAGGATTATATAATTATAACTTGTGAAATGCATCTTAAATTGAAGTAAGAATTTGAAAATAAATCAAATTATGTTTTTTTGTAAATACTTTTACGGTAAATACTTGCCGATGCTTTATGTGAAAACTTGGCATGCACGCCTTCATTTTGAGACTCAATCATGAAAATCGGTGGGGTAGAAGAGCCAAACGAACTCGGAAAAGAAAAACCTAATTTAACTCCCCTTAGAAATACATGGGGAGCAATTTTGTTTCAGTGTATGCCAAGTAGGATGATATATGATTATATGCCGAGCCGATGCTTGATGGCAAATCTGTGCGTGCATAACCTCAATTTCAGACCTCAATCATGAAAATCGATCGGGTAGAAGAGCTAAACGAACTGGGCAAAGAGAAACCAAATTTAACTCCCATACGAAATACATGGAGAGCAAATTTTGTTTACATATCAACCGAGTGAGATTATAGATAATTATATGCCAATGCTTGATGGCAAATCTGTATGTGCATACCTTTAATTTGAGCCCTCAAACATGAAAATCGGTCGAGTAGAAGAGCTAAACGAACTTGGCAAAGAGAAACCCAATTTAACTCCCATAAGAAATACATAGAGAGCAAATTTCGTTTACGTATAAACCGAGTGAGACTATAGAAAATTATATGCTGATGATTGATGGCAAATCTGTGCGTGCATACCTTCAATTTGAGACCTTAATCATGAAAATCGGTCGGGTAGAAGAATCAAACGAACTCGTAAAAGAAAAAGAAAATTTTTTAAATATATAAGATTAGGTTTAACGAGTACCTACGGGTTTGATGGTGCTACAGGGACGCTAATAAAGTGTATTTTTATAGGGATGGACAGGTCTTGAAATTTTGGGAAATTTTATATCTTATTCTACAAGACGAGATTCTATTTTGGGTCGAGATTTTTTTTTTATTTTAAAATTGTACACTTAACAAAATTTTAAAAAAACACCTGCTGAAAGTCAATGCAATACCCGCAATACAGGAGCGTATTGATGTTGCGTTTCCTTTGCAAAGGCGTATTTATTTCATTATTAATTCTTTACATGGAAATATTGCTTCAATTGTTTTATATTTTTTTTTTACATAGCAAATGATGAGAAGTTTTGTAAGTGTAAGCAGTGTGAGACATGTTTTACTACTGTAAACATAGCCAAAATAAGTCACTCCAAAATCATTCTAAAAATAACACAAGACTTAAAAATTGTTACTTGATACTTAACTACTAATACTGTTGATTTAGATATACAGTAGACTCCCTCTTATCCAGACTCATCAGGACCAACGCCAGTCCAGATAACGGCTTTTCCGGTTAAACCGATGTCCCCAAATCTCGTTAAAACAGACTGTTTAAATGCATACTGTATACAGTATTTGACTCAAATTTAGGAGAGCATTGTATTTGTATTTAGACACGTGATTACTGGTCTCAAATCATTCCCACGAGAACAGTCGTTTAAGTACCGCCCACTTCCTGCCAATCTACTCTGGTTAAACAGATGTGCTGATAAAAATTGTCCGGTTAAAGAGATGTCATTTCTGCCGAGTGTAGTCCGGTTAAGAGGGAGTCTACTGTATACATTTGATATTTTTCTATATAAAGTTAGGCTTTATTAATATTTTTTTATACTAATATGTTTTTATTAATTTTTTTTAATAAAAGATTTTAAATATTTTTCTTGATTATTATATTTTTTTTTTTACCAGTTTGTCATAAATTAGTAGGTATGTAGGCCTAAAAATGTAAAAAAATAAATCAGGTTAAAATGTGGAATGTGCATTTCCCGTTATGTATGAGAAGGGAAATCCTGTCTCGAAATTTTATGAGAAATAAAAAATCCCGTCTCGTCTCGATCTAAAAATTCAATCTCGTCCATCCCTACTTTTTTAGTTACCGTATATATTAATAGCTTGGTATAAAATAAATAAATTTTTTAAATATGTTTGTTAAGGCCCAATCAATATATACAATTAATTTATATTAAATTATGAAGAAAAGTTTGAAGGTCCTTCATAAAACTACCTATAATATTTCCTTAGTAAATATCAGATTTTTTAGTTGTAAAATGAGGTAAACCTGAGTAGAGCTTAGCTTTATTCATTATCATTTTACAACTAATAATCGTGATATTTCAGTTATCTTTTATTCAATCTTTTTGAACTTGGTGTCGTATGATAGACAATTTTAGATTCTATTAAAAGTGTTCTAGACCTTTTTTATAAAATTAGCCACTTTTAAGCAATTTCAATTTTAAAATTTTTAATTTCCGCCATTTTGAAACTTTTTAGTGGATTAAAGTAATTTTTTTTCTAACTTGTTTTCCTTTAACATACATACCAAGTTTCATAAAATGATTGGTGGAAAACTTCAGAGCTAACAATGTTTATGTGAAAAAAAACAAATAACAGATGTCTGGTTAACAAAGCGATTTTGGAAAAAATGTTAAACTTGGTTTTCCTTTACTTTAGTAACCCATAGGGCCATTTTCCGGAGTTTGGTTATTTACTTACAGGACACCCTGTATAAAACCGATTGTAGTAATAAAAGGAAGCTTCGCCCAAAAAAAGTTATTTAAGAAAGTTGTATAGTGTTGGTGATTAAAGAACAGTTTAAAATAGAACGTTTTAGGTGAATCGGGCGTCCAAAATAAAAATCTTTTATAATTATTGAATAATCATTAAAAATAATTTAAAAATTGTTCTTAACTGTAGTTTTGTATAAAAATATTTAGGTATTCTTACCAGAATCCAATAATGATTCAGAACCAGCATCAGAAGCAGAATCCTCTTCGTTCTGTTCAGCTTTTGGTCTGGTCAACTAAAAAATGTACAAACTAAAACTGATGTATTTGTATGACTAACTAAGATAAATCATTATATTAATTGCCATGTTTTAATTCGTTTCTGAATTACGAAGGCGGTTTTTTTAAGTAACGGCCGGTTTCACCTATGAGTTCGCTTGTACCCCGCATCGGGGCTCATCACCATTTCGGAGCATAATTTCATAATAATACAATATTTTTAGTCACCATTGGATATGCTTCTTGGAGTAAAAAAAAAATGATTACTGCCCTTACCTCGGATCAGACACGGGCAGGAGATCTGATTATTTAAAAAGTTTTGTAAAACACAGCGAAGCATAAAAGACAGCTACAGAGCTGAAATTTGTGTCATTCTGTTCACAAATGAAGCCAGTGAATTATGATGAGCCTCGTTGCGGCGTACAAGCAAATTACGGATTTATATTGTATCAACTTGGCAGAAGACAGAGAAGGGTGGAAGAGGCTGGTACACGAGGTGAAGAATGGACAGGGGTTTTTGGAGCCACGGCAGTAAGTATTTAATTGGAATAACATTTTATACCCCTTTCATGACAATCTCATAATATTAATAGACTTGGGAATAAATCCTGATATGAATTGTACATATTAATTGTCCTGCTTAATTTATCTGTGCCTTAAAAGGTGTTCTACTTACTTTCTTTCACATTCTCATGCTAAATGAGTAGGCCTACACATTACATTACATTATTTGTCATGAGAGCCGAAGCCCCCTGACTACATACCCGGTACCTGTCGTGAGACTTACCCGGGCCCCATGATGTAGGTCGAAGCTTACGCATCAACCTTTTGCACATCATGGGCGGATGACTTAAGGTCATCAGGCTCACCGGCTGCCGAAGCAGACCCTTCGGAAAGAGGGTTGCCCCTCAATCCTAATCAGGGTTTCCGGCTACTTGTTTAAGCGTCACTCCACCTGGGTTCCACTAGGTCGGAACCTAGAGGTCCATGGTAGAGCGCCCCGACGCATTTAGTGCAAGTAACACTCGGGACCTATCTAATCCCTGACAGGCAAACCCGCCATCTATAGCCAGAAGGAAGGGGACCAACCTCCCATTTACACCACTACCCGATCGAGGCCTTACCCAGTTGCTAAATGAGTTGCTATGATGAGTTTTAAATGATGTTGAGTTGTAAATGAGTAGGCCTAGTCAAGTTACATGTAGAACCTCGATAATCCAGCCTAAACCGGTGGTCAGTTGGCCAGATTCGAGAAAGGTCAGACCATCGAGAGGCCATTTAAATTAGAGAATTATAGTAGGGGCCACAAGAGTCTGCAGTTGGCGGCAGCCAATACTAAGACTGGACTGGCACGACGTTACATCACCCAATCTCTACTTTTTGACACAAATTAAAATATACTAAAAAATATTTTCAAATCAGCTGGTATTATTAGATTTTGCAACACCGCACTGTCCTCATTGGCTCCTTCGAAGTTATGTTAAAAAATAGGCTCCTCCCTCAACTGCAGACTCTCGTGGAACGTACTGTAGTTACAGCTACCTAGTGCATTTGAGACACCCATTGTTTCTACCAACAATGAACAGCAACTCTTTAATGCAATAAAATTATATATGATATTTGAAGGTATTTGGCTCAAAATGCACCTTTTACGACTACAGTGAACTCCAAATTATCAACGAGTGGAAGTAAAAACCAAAAGTATATATACTATTATTGAAATTGTCAATTATCAAAGTCAAAATAAAAATAGTCAAATTTCAGTACAAGTACAATTAGTTTTATCACTATTTATTTACTCATTATAACAATATTAAAACATGTGATAGTTAATCTTCACAAACAAATCATACAGCATAAATATAAAGATTGATCAATGGTCATACATATATAACTATGAAGTATATAAACTTGAAGTACGAACTATGAAGTATATGAAGTAATATTTGTAGGCTATGAACAAAGTATTAAATAAAATAAAGAACCAAATTCTTACCTTACAGTATTCGGCCCTGATATTAGCAAACATGATAACTTCACCCCCTTGCAAATTGTATCTGACATTGGGTTTAAGAAAAATCTGAAATCAACATATTGGGCTTATAATATTATTTTAGTTTTAAATATTATACCTGATTGTATATAGTTAATTGAATCATCTACAGAAAACCTTGATAATTGAGTGGAGCAAGCGAAGCTCTTATAGCCTACTACACTCCTGCTGTTGCAAATTACTCTGGACAATCTTACACAAACTAAATCTACCTGAGGAGACCAGCTTAAAAATTTATCAATTTTTATTCCCAGAACTGTTATAACATTTCTATTGTTAGCAATCTCTGACTCTACTGTAATGTTTTTAAGACTACACAAAAGATTTTGAGTTTTATTTTTATTAAGACAAGAAACAAAGAGAAGTTTATTTATTGAGACAAATTTTATTTTTATAGGAAAGAAATATTTTGTAAAGTTAATAACTAAAATGGAAAGAGACAAAAGTACAACTGGTTCAGACCCAACTTATATATTTGATTGACAAAGACTTAGCCTCATTCTAAAACCTGAGCTTACATTGAAGACTACTTCAATACTTTCACTACTACTTTCATACTTACTCTACAAACGAAAACGCAGAATATTTTTAAAAATGCTTCTTAAAATAAAAAAATATTGATTTTTCATTATTTTACTTTTTATAGTAGCTTACACAACGATCGCATAAAGACTATTTACGCAAGTTGCGTACACTACTTTACCTATAATCGTTTTTTAATTAGTAGCAATCACTACACATAACTTCTAAGAGAGGTTATGTTTTCATTTGTAACCTCTCATTGCCACTGATAGTGATGCAACGACTCAGTAACAACCACTCATTAACAATTAAATCATTACTCTTACTCTTAACAGCTGATAAGTTGACGTTCGAAGCATTACAATTTTTAATTTTACTTCTTTTCTCTCAATCCTTGAACCTCATTGGTCCGTAACTAGTGTTGTAAAGTAAAAATAAACAATGCTGTAAAGTGAATCTTTTCAATTCTAAGAACTGAATTGAAAAGTCTAGTTTAAAAAATCCGTTTCTGGTGTAGGTAACATATTTTTTTGTCACACTATACTGTTTTAACCTGTTAGAGGTCGAATAGCTGTCTAAATAGGTTTGTACTTTTTTGCGTAAATATTATATTTATTGGTTGTCGGTATTGTCAGCCTTTACAGTGCTCAACACGCCACATTCTAGGAATACTGTGACCTATTTTTTGCCATCCTAGTCCACCTCCTCATTTTAGTATAGCAAAAGTTTTTTGTCATGTACTGGTCGATTACACACTGTGCGTCTCCTCGTGTTTGGGAATTAACGGTCAATAAGACAGTGTGTGTCTCACCCTGGTTTGTAGATTAATGCTTGTTTTTCTTTACAGTTTCAATTCATTAGTATTACCATTAAATTATGTGCTGAGCCACGGAGAAGTATTTATGTACCTCTCAGTGGCTAGATGTGGAATCTAACAAGTGAAGTATACAATTGATAGTCCATCGTCATGTTGAGAGAGATGAGGATGTTGAATGTTTAGTGAGGCTTGTAGGATGTCCTAAGGCACTTTTTTCAATGAACCATTGATGAGAGGCACAAAAATATTTAAATGATGAAGAGGAATCTTAAAACTTAAAATGAATTTTATCTTTACAAGACAATAATGACTTATAATTATTTATAACTAAACTTTTGGTGAACTATTTTTTTATAGTAGGCCTATACAATACAGTTTGCTTCATATTATGTTTTTGTCATTTATAGGTCCATGAAAAAACTGTTGAGGCAAATGAGGAATTGTGAGCAATCGGTGTACGAAACTATTATACGCAGCTAGTATTTGTGAACAAAGATGATGGGATTCTGAGTGAATGGTCTGGTCAGTGCATGTTGGTTTCCTGAATATTTTAAACTCCAATTTTTTTTTATGCTTCTTTAGTGTGATATCTATAAAATTCAAACAATTATTGTTTTCTTACCTTAATGTAAAGGAAGGTTATTAGAAGGTTATTGTATTGTAAGGTTATTAGGTTATTTGTAAAAGAAGGTAAATTTGGTTCCAAAATACATAATTGTAAAAGTTAGTGGAAAATCAAGAACCGCCGCCGTAAGAGCAAAAGATTCTGCTGAAACCATTTGGATTAAAAATGAAATAAAACATCTTTACTTTAAGAAATATGCTTTTAAAATAAGTTATTATTTAAGAAACATTAAGAGTTAATGAACAATTTACACATAGCTCAACAAAACACTGTCTTGCTTGAAATCAAACTACAGGTCAGCAGAAAGATCTGTTTCAAAAAGAAAACTTAAATTAAAAAAGTTAAAGAGTCTATTGGAATCACAACATAAAGAAAAAATGAAAAAATGCTCACACAATTTTTTTTTTAAAGAGTCGTATATATTATAAAAAAAATTGAAATAAGAAGTTAAATTTACTGAGCAAAGGCTTAAATTTAAATTTTCCTAATAGCAAGAAAAATAGTACTGCATGTTCACTGAGTTACTAGACACTGAAGCTTCAATCAAACAAATAAAAAATAATTAAGTAGGCTATGTGAAGCTGCTCGAATCATTATGAGTGATAAAGCTAAATGCATCGTAAAAATTCCCCCACGTACATGAAAGCATTTGAAATTTGAAGTTAAATGCCATGAGACGTGTCCTAGCGAGCGTCAAGCATAAGCTTGCCCAAACACAACGCTCTTGCCCACCAAGGCTGATAAGGGCAACTCAATTGTGATAATGTACAAAGACGATTATGTAAATAAAGTAAAAACGTTTTTTAACGCTAACAAAATACATACTTTAAATAAAAATCTTAAATTACAGAAAATTGATAAATAAAGCCATTTCAGAAAGTTTTTACTTTCATCAAAAAGTGAAATCACCCCAAGATCCACAAGCCTGACGTCCTCTTAAAGACCCCTAGTAAATTTTATGCTAAGTCCAGCCTACAAAATAGCCAAGAAAAATCGTATGTGCAGATCAAAACATCTAGATAAAATAATAAAGTATCAAATTTTATTAGAGAATAGTTGTAGCATAAAAAATAGTCTAGAACTTGTTGATAGAATTTAGAACCATGCTGTTAAATATAACTACAAATTGGCATCATTTGACATTGCAAAATTTGTATAACAACGTCCCCATTCAAGAAACAATAGCTCTATTGCACCAAAACCTCATTAAAAACTCAAGTTTATCCAAAAAGTCAGTAAATAAGTTAGTTTCACTCACAAGATTAGTACTAAATCAGAATTACTTGAGATTCAACCATGACTATTATTCCAGAAAGAAGGGCTGGCAATGGGTTCCCCCCTCTCCAGTATTTTAGCAGAGATTTTTCTCAACAACCTGGTAAATAAACATTTATTTTCCAATTCCAAAGAAAAGACCATGTTTTATTTCAGATATCTGGACAATACTATTGTTTTGTTTAACGGCAACAGTAGACAGCTATCGTTACTCAACGCATACTTATGTAGTATTCACGGCAACATGAAATTTACTTTGGAGGAAGAAAACAATGATTGTTTGAATTTTCTAGACATAACCATAAAGACGCATTAAAATAAATTGGATTTTAAAATATTCATGAAACCAACATGCACTGACCAGACCATTCACTCAGAATCCTATGTTCCTTATTCACAAAAAATTAGCTGCGTATAATAGTTTTGTACATCGATTGCTCACAATTCCAATGAACGAACAGGACTACAACTAAGAAGTAATTACAATACCGTAAAATAACACTATAGCCATAGCAAATGGTTATCCAAGTAATATTGTGGATAAACTCATCTTTAAAAAAAAAAACATAAAAATAAAACAAGAACCAATAAACAGAACACTTTCATCTCTGCACAATTTAGCGCATTTATGGGCAATGAATATAAAAATCTCATGACAAAAAACAAAATCACAGTTTCCTTTAGAACAGAGAACAAGCTTGGTTCATTGTTAAAGGAACGCAGCCCCACAATGACGTAATCTTATGATATATCTGGCGTTTACATCTTTCCACAGTTACTGGCGTCCCTCCATCTTTGACAGTTATTTACTCTTTTCCAATAAACTTATAAAAACATCAGAATTGCTTCTATTAAATTTCATCCCATTTAAAATCATGCAACTTTGCAAAAATGTTTATCCAAATACATTGGTTACTTGATACTTTCCATATTTATTGGTAGTTTACTTTATTAGTATTGTTAAAACGATAAAAGAGACTAACAAACCCAAGTTCAGCAAACTTACCGTTCCAAGTCTAGTTTTATTGGTACTTCCACAGTCGAAAAGCAAATGAGTGTCCCAGTCCTCTACTTCTACTACTGCATGCCTGCTGGAAATAGACTGCAACAAACATATACTGCATGATAATTTTTGTATGTTTTAATATTTGATCCTGTGGGTATACCTGTTCATTTATTTTCTTACATCCACAGACTAGAAAGTGGTATCTTTCAAACTACCTGAAAATTCAGTACATCCCATTTTACAGTGGATGCTCGTTATTACAGCAAGGATTACAACAGTTAAGGGATTGGGCGATGCCGGATTACTGAGCGTCTTTCAAAATGTTAAATTCATAGGCTTCTTTTAACCATTCATCTCTATTACTACAACTGGATCGCGCACTATGTGCTGGGATTTTTGTACGCCCGCTTGGTCGCTCCGCTCTCCCCCCGCCGCCTAATGTAGGATCTGGGTCAAAATAGCTACCGTTAGAAACTGTATTGTCAAATTCCATGAAAACCGTTACAGTTACAACACTTTTTGAGGATAGGCAAAAATGCACAGATAAAAGCCAAATCAATTGTGATTTTATTTAAAGCAGTAATTTTCACAAATCATTGTAATCATAAAATGATTTTGATTTGGATTAAATTTTACATAAAAATGTAACCTACATTGAATGGAACAAGTTCGCGAACCAGCACAATCGGATTATGGTAAACAGGGTTTATGGGGTAAAAATTTTCTTTTCCCATTTTTGACCAAGGCAGATGTTAATTTGCTTAGTCTGCAGGTTTGCTGTGGCGGTATATTACTGTACTTTGTCTTATTTGAGTTGTGCTATAAAACGGTGAACATAAAATCCTTTTTCAACCAGAAAATAGGGTTACATTTCCAGTGATTAATATTTTTGAACATAGTTACGGTATGTCAGAAAAATATACATATTACATTGCTCCTTCACATATTTTACTGCACTGGTAAGAAATAAGATTTTTTTCTTTGAGTTATTTTGAATTTGAATGAAACTGACGTCTGCTAACTACACTCCCCATCTGGCGATAATGTGTCTGCCAGGAGACACATTAAAACGGCTTAAAACAGTGTTAGGCCTAAAAATGATTGTTTAGTCTTTTGGGTTGATGTCTTATAGTAGGCCTAATTGGTTTTAAATGTGTGTTTGGTGAATAAAGACTTATGTTCGCAAAGTTTTTATATAGCCTACTTCATTTTACTATTAGTGTTTATATGTGGTAAAAAATAGAGCTCACACTTTTAACTGACAGACTATTTTCACATAAAATCAACATTGGAACTAGAAAACCATGTTTTTGGCTCTTGGTGCAGAATTTACTTCCGCTACATCATGTTATATTAAGGTTAGACAAAAAATGTATTAGGACTATTACTTACATTATGTCTCAGTACAATATCAGAAAGTTCATCTCTGCCAATGACATTTTCACCTTTGTAAATATCGTGAGATCTTCCATCAACACGTAGTATTCCAACCTGAAATATTGAAAATTAGAAAATATGGTAGAAAAATTACTACATCTATTATAGGCCTACGGAGGTTTGGAATACAAAATAGTTAAAAATAAGTTTTACATTTGAAATATTTTGAGCATCCAAAGAATAGGCCTAAGTGATGCAACAATAATAATAGATCGGTTTAATAAGCTTACAATGAAATTTAACTTCTTGAGCTAAATAAGGGAAGCACCTACCTATTGTCAGATTTTATTTTTATTTTGACCCATAGAATCATTTCCTTCAGTTTGGCTGTTTACTTAAAGGACATCCTGTATAGATACGATTCTCAAAAACTAGCTAGCTGCTAGTTAGTAAAGACTTAGGGGGTTGCTGAATGCTCAAAATGATGTTTAGAAGAGTAAGTGTTTTTAAGAAATGCAAAAAGAAAAACTTGGGTGAGTTATATAAAAGTACCCAATCATTATATACAGGGTAGAACAAAGGCATTGGGCTGTTGATAGTTTAAAATAATAATAAAGAGATAGCTAAAAAACTTGGTAGAAGGTTACTGGGTATTAAATTGATTTTTACACATCATTCGGTAATAAGCTCCCTCTTCAGGGGAGCAGCCTGCAAGGAGTAAAGGTGCGTCCACACTTGACAAACAATGTTCGCTGTGACAAACAATGTTCGCTGTGACAAACAATGTTCGCTGAACAATGTTTGCTAACATGTCGCTGTTTGCCAGCGAACGTTCCATGTTCGCTAAGTGTGGACACTTTGACGAACGTTTGGAGAGCGAGAGTGGGGGTAGCGTGTCTCAATTTTTGATCGGGATCAGCCCTTTGTGTTGCAGCCTCTTGCAGCATGTATTTGCGTTAAAAGTATATCCTATACGATAGTGAATGCAACACAACGTGTTTACCGTTGAGAGAGCACCTGGAGAATGGTCAAATTGCCACTTACTTCGATATTCATTGGCAACCACAACACATTCTTCAGCAGGAGACGGGGTCTTTACATAGCTAAATAATGCACAAACTAATATTGTACTTACTTCCAGAACAATATTTTATATGCTTGGATATTTTAACCAATACATTAGAGAATTATAAGTATCCCCACTCGCAAAAAAAAGCTCAATGTAACTGCCAATCTATCTTTCACACCAATTGGTTCACGACAAAAGATATTATTTTTTGAAATTTCAGGACCTAATGTTAACAGAAATTCAAAATCAAAGTTCGACATCCGAGTTAAGATGGAGAATAGGCAACCAACTACTAAGTCTGCTCTGAATTGCTGCCCACTATATTCATATCGGCCTAGGGGTCTCAATCCCGGGATCCCGGCCGATTTTTGATACCTATAAATCCCGGGATTTACATATTTTAATCCCGGGATTTACGCCTTTTAATCCCGGGATTAACGGGATTGCAAAACCTATGTTTATATTTATTCTTTTGTGAATTTGAGGAGTTTTACTTACGGAAAATAAATAAAAATGCGTCCAATAACACATAAACACATATACTGTTTATTTTTAAGGCGATAAATATATACGAAATGGTATAAGTTGTGATCTATTTTGAATGGACAATTTAATTATCATTTAACTCAATAGGCGAACGTAGTATAAATACATGTTTCATGTTTTTAGACAATTGGATTCACTTTCTGTAAATATTATTGCATTGGTTGTCAATTGCAGTAGGCCTATAACTTATGTTGAATTTTAATTTTGACATTAAACGCAAACAACATGGCAACATGGCAATCGGTAATTGAAGTATTATTATCTTAATAATATTGAAAGCCAGAACATTTTTTTTTTTCTAAGGGAGAGGAGGGAAAATGCTTTTACACACACAGGTAGCCAAGCTGTAGTGTGAGGCTCCTGAATCTATCACAGACTAAGTTACTCACGAAAAAACCCCCTCTACTCTGTTGGACACAGACCTGGAATTGTTTGTCACATTACTTCAAGTCAGGCCAACATGTGACCTAAGCCCTCAGGGCTCTCACAGTTTTTGGCATTTAGATACTTTATGACATACACCGCATCCCGGTCAAGGTCGAGCTTCTTGGCGCGGAAAATACCCTGGATGTAATGTGACACACAGGTCCAATTGTCCTCACCCTCCATCATCGGTATGACTGTGTCCACTGACAGCAGTCCTACTATCTGTTGAGCCTCCAGGCGGGGCCATTCCCAACGCTGGCAGTGGAAAAAGGTAAGTTCCACGTCATCGGGAATGCCTGGGCTGGGCAGTATATGCAATCGGGTGACACGGCTTTGCCCATCCTGAACAGGTACGACCGGAAAAAGCCGTGACCCATCAGAAATTGGGTGAGGTAGAAGTCCACCTCTCCGCACCGCCGATTAACCCAAGGTTGGACTTGCTTTATCAGTCGCCTGGTCCAGCGTCCCCGAGTCTCCTGTTCCCAGCTCTCCTGCCACAGCTGGTAGGTGCGGGTGCGTTCCTTTGTTCGTGCCTGGTCCTCCCCACGGCGCTGATCAATTGCCTTTCCCTCCGCCGCCAAAAGTTTGACGGGGATGACTCCAGCAACCACCAGGACAGCAGGTTCGGACACTGTTTGGTAGGCGGATGCAACTCTTAGTGCTGCCTGACGCTGCACTCGGGCGAGCCGCATCCTATATACCTCCTTATTGAGAGCGTCTGCCCACACCTCAGCACCGTACAAGAGTACGGACTGGACAGAAGACATTAACAGCCTTCTACGGCTGGACCGAGGACCTCCGACATTGGCCATCAACCGGCTAAGAGAGGAGACCACCCTACCGGCCTTGTCTGCCGTACGGAAAATCTGATACCGCCAGCTAAGCTTGCTGTCCACCATAACCCCAAGGTACTTAGAAGAACGAACGGTCTGAACTTCGACGGCCCCTACCCTCAACGGCACGATGGTGTCAATCCATTTTTTGTTAATATCACGATCAGTTTTGCTCAAAGCAAGCGAGAGACCGTGGTCAGTCATCCATATGTTTATGGTACGCATAACTCGGTTCAGCTTCAGCTGAGCCAGCTCAACGCTAGGTGCAGCTATCAAAACTGCAACGTCGTCTGCCAACCAAAACAGTTTCCTCAGGCACTTCAGACCTCAGGAGGCTGTCATACATGACATTCCAGAGGTCTGGGCCGAGTATGGAACCTTGGGCAGCACTGGAAGTGACACTCATCGTCCGTGGGCCCTCTGTAGTTTCATACATGAGGAGGCGGAACCGGAGATAATCCTCTATGATACGCATGAGGTATGCCGGAACGTGGAAGGTGTTCTCCAGAGCATCCAGCATATCGCACCACCTCGCGGAATTAAATGCGTTTCGCACATCGAGAGTTACAAGCAGCACAACCCTACGAGAGTAGTGGTTAAAATCCTCAGCTCTCATCACGGCTTGCTTCACCTCCTCAACAGCGTCAACCGTAGATCGCTCCATCCTGAATCCATACTGGCGAGGGGACAGGTCCCCCGCAGCGACCACGGCTGAATTCAGACGGGAACGGATCAACTTCTCGAGGACTTTGCCAGCCGTATCCAACATACACCTAGAGGTCTGTAAAAGGATGGCAGGTCTGGGTCTCCCTTTCCCTTCCCCAACAAGCACAAGCCTAGCTGTTTTCCAGCACGAGGGGTAAACTCCTTCGACTAGGCAGGCGTTGTACATGCGCAAAAAGATCAAGGGGTTAATAGTCAAAAACTTCTTGAGGACTTCGCCGCCTACCCCATCGGGTCCAGGAGCCTTATTGTTCTTCAGGGATAGGACGGCTGCCTCCATCTCTCTAAGACTGAAAAGTGGTACGTCATCCACCCTTCTGAAATCCCGCAGTGGGCGCAACGTGTGAGCCGGGAAAAGGGACTCGACTATCCTCTCCATAGTGGCCCCATCCATGACGGAAGGTGGAGAGCGGGTGCCTAGTTTCTTGGTTACAAGTTTGTAACCCAGGCCCCACGGATTGGAATTGACATTGTCCCTCAATGTCTTCCAGCAACTGCGTTTACTCCAGTTGATGGCTCGACGAAGAGATCTCCTAGCCACTCTGTAAGCATCCGACTTACGACGTCTGTCTACAGGTTCTCTGGCCATGGTAGCAAGTCAATTGGCTCTCAATGCTAACCGACGCAATTCCGCAATTCGGCAGTCCACCAGTACACAGGTTGCTTATTGCACCGGGATCTCCTGCGAGGCATAGACTCATCGCATGCCGAGACGATCAGTCCCATCATGGATGTAACTACCGCCTCTGCGTAAGCCACGTTAGATGCGGGAGGAACCATCGGCGTTCCTCGTAAGATGGCTTCATTGAATTTTGCCAAGTCCAATTTTTTTTAATTCCATCGAACGGGCACTTGACGAAACGCGGCTACTCGTCTCTGATGACCATCCAGGACATCAAAAATTATGTACTGGTGGTCACTGGCCGTGTAATCCTCCAGGACTCTCCAGGCTCTGATCCTTGGTAAAAGAGACTCAGATGCAAGGGTAATGTCTGGGATCGTTCCCGCATCCCAGGGCGCCGGAAAGTTGGCGTCTTGCCCTCGTTGACGTCAACGAGTCCGACTTTGGCAGCTAAGTCCAGAATGTACTTGTACACCAGAAAACTTATACCAGAATGTACCCCGGGAATTTGTGAGGGTATTCCCCACTCGACAGCTCTAGCATTAAAATCCCCACCCACGACGACGTGTCCTGTGGTATTGCGCACGCTCTCTTCCAGGCGGTCTATCTTCTCACGAAAGTCACGGATGGCCTCGTTGGGAGTGAGGTAGACACTAAAGTAAGTGACATCCCGGCACCGAACCCAAACGAAACCTCGACCCTTCGCGTGACCCCATACTTTAGCTGCATTACGCGCCCAGAATGCAGCAGTACCGTACCAAGACTATCAGGGAACCAAAAAGCTGGGTCCCTATCACGGTACCGGTACTGTTCGCTGACTAAGAGCGCGTCAACATCGTGTTGTAGGGCAAGCTGACGTAGAAGTGCGTCAGCCGTCCTGGATCGCTCAAGATTGCACTGAAGGATTCTTATCTTCGTGGGAGGGCTTTCGCTTGTTGTAGTGCGGATTTAAATACACTACACTGTCCAGATCTTATCCAGAAGCATATAGATCCAGCTATATGCTTCAAGTGCTTGTCAGCGAGCCCATTTTCTTTGCAAAGGAAACAGGACTCGACTTGGCAGTCCTTACGGATGTGACCGACCTCCCCGCAACGAAGGCAGTTCTTGCTTTAGTCGGGTCCCTTGCAATTTCGGGAGGAATGGCCGAAACAGAGGCATTTAAAAACACCTCTTTACTTCCACTCTCCGTCTGAGCCTGCAGTTGACCCAACCGACTCTCAGTTGCTGGAGTGCCAGCACCTTATTGGCATGTGCGTCTGCCATTTTGGCGACTGTCATCCGATGCTGACTCCTATTCGGTTTTGTGAGCCACACCTTAAGAAAAGCCATTTGCCACTAAATAATTACATTATAAACCGCTTTGGATGACATGAACAAACAGACTCGGTAACTACCTCAGTTAGCACTGTTTGTAGACAGCAGACAGCTGACGCGACGATGTCAATTTTGCAAGTCGTTTTACAAAGCAGCCAGTTGGGTTAAAGCATTAGAGACAGGTATCGGGAGAAAGCCTGAAATGTGACGTTTACGGAGATACCAAACTCAATCCAGTTTCTTGTACACTGGAACGGAGTGAAGTAGATTAAACGACACCTTGCGTATCGACTCGCTCGAGTCGACTAGCAGCCGGTCGGGGTGTAGCAATCGACTCACTCGAGTCGATCAGCAGCTGGAGGGTTAGGCCTAAATTTGATAGGCTAATAAATTTATATTAATAAATCTTTTAATAAGTTAATATTCATTTTTAATTAATTTTTATTTTAATTACATTTTGTAAAATATTATTATTAAAATTAAACTATCATTAGGCCTATACCTAACCTAACCAACCAAACTTGCTGATGGGAAAAAAAATTGCATGAAGGTTTACTAATTGAATCTAGTTTCAATCAATAGTAGCGTAGGCCAGTTAAGAAACTGTAACTTACCCGTTAGCCTAAGTTATTATTAGCTTTAATCCTCTTTACAGAATGATAGGCCTAGGCCTAGTTAGTTAATAATCTCTTTGGTGCATTGGGAGGAAAAATATCAGTATAGGGCCTAGGCCTAAGAGCGGTTTTAAAATTGAAATCATTTCATTTAATGAATAACTTACTTAAGTAGGCCTAGGACTTACCTTTACCCTTCCAAGATCTGAAATGTCAATACCAGTGGCTGATATATCTATTACTTGTGTAAAGTCCTCCATTATATCTTTGACTGCTTGTGTTAAGTTAAGTTAGCTTAGTCCAAAACTGATGACAACTTATTACTCCGAACAAAACAAAACTTTATCAGCTTGAATCGCAGTTATTGAAGCTTGATTGATGTTGAAATTGAAAAGATGATCTTCCGGAATTAGAAAATTAAATAGGTAGGCTAGAATTGTCTAGAAATTTTGAACAATCTGGTCAAACGGTCAACGACGCTCTCCAATCTCCAATGACGCCAATAAACTTTCTTATTCTTGTTCTTATTCTTATTCTTTGTTGGTGTTTACTCAGGGGAGGTATAGAAGAGCCTACGATGACAGCTGTGGACTTCTTATTAGCTGAAGGGACGCCATTACCGTAGCCACGGCCGCCTTTAACTACAGGCCGCGGCCTAGTAGAATTGGCAACATCGCAAGTGGTTGTTCAGTGACAGACGTCCCATAAGATAACATTGCAGACAGGTGACATCATCTCATTAATTCGCACTTTATTGATTTAATTTTTAATTTATGAACATAAATTTATTAAAATATTGAAAATAAAACGTACAGAATTGAAAATTGAAACAATATGAATTAAAATCTATATCTGTACATTTTTAAGCGGAGTCAATATTGTCATAGTCCAGTGATCAATCTTTCGTAAATACACAAATACCATTAGTTGCTTCCAAAAAAATCAGCTGTTACAACACCACTTGCGACGTTGCCAGTTCGAAGGCCGCGGCCTGGAGTTAAAGGCGGCCGTGCCGTAGCAATACGGTCTGTGGCCATCGGACTCGGTGGTCAAGCGGTCAGGTCAGCGTACCGGGCTGATATGCTCATGCTGAAGGTCCCGGGTTCGGATCCCGCTGGTAGCATTAACTTTTTGTCCAAGATTTTTTCATTATCAGCAAGTTTGGTTCGGTTATGACAATTTAATTTTATTATTAAGTCATTATAAAATTTTAATTGAGCAATTTCTATTTTTATTTAATAAACAGAATTATTTTTTTATTACTAAACTTTTGTTATATTATTTTATTATCAGCAAGTTTGGTTAGTTCGGTTAGGTTATGATAGTTTAATTTTATTATACAAAAATTATAAAATTGAATTTGAGGCATTTATAATTTTATTTTATGAACAGAACTATTTTTGCGATTAGTAAACCTTCATTGCCAAAGTGATCTCTACTACAGCGCTGTTCATGGAGGAATTTTGAACTAATGCCTCATTCGTACCTCCCCTAAGTCAGTCAGACCCTTCTTTGTTCTTGTTGCTTATCAATTTGCCGCCATCATACTAGTGAATTGTATTGAATTATTATTCTTTTCCCTTATTTTCTCGAAAGCAGGCTTATATTATATGCAACCTCGTTGTACGGCCGTGAAGATACTGTAAGGAAGATAGCTATCGCCTAGTTATCTCCTTGAGAAGAGTAAAGCTACAGGCTCTACAGAATTCATCCAATTGACCTTCAAAATCGTTTCTAATTCAATATTTATTCATGTTAAGTTGTCATGAAATTTACTAGAATAGAAAAGGTTGTAAATAAATAAAAACTTGTTAAAAAAAATTCAAAATATTAACCCTAAAATCTTAAGAATAAAATATTTTAATGTCTTCTCAAAATCACAAACACGAACACACAAATTGACAAATCAAGCTTCTTATTTTCAATAGGATGAAAAATCTACTTTGTTAGTTGTTAGTCGGGACCATGGTAGTGCTATGTTTCAGATTTTACAGTGGATTGAGAAGTCTACATTTTTACTTGTGTAGGTTAAACTAAAAGGTAAAGTTTTAGTCAAAGGTAATATGGGGTCGCCGGAAGATTGCCCTCCCGCGGACAACTACCTCACCCCTTCCAAGCAGGTTTCTACGTCATGTTGACGTCAGAGATATCCGGGGGGGGGGCAGTTTTCCAGCCACGAACATTCTAGTTCCGTTGTCAAACTGTTTAAGCTAACAACACAACCAGCCAAACTTGCAGTAACATTTCAAAATTCTGTTTGTTATTCCTCACATGCCTTTTCCGTTACCAAACGGAATTACTACATGTAGAATTAAGATTACAATTACATGGCATCACATTTTGCTAGGAGGGTAGTATATGGTAGTATTCTAGTTGCGGATACAGCTCCTATATTGGTTAGTTGGAAGATTTAGTGACGTCATGTTTCACCTGGGGGGTGGTTTTCCAAGGGGTAGTATGCACGGCCGCCTTTAACTCCAAACTTCAAACTAATATTAATAGTAAATCAGCTGATAATGGAAATTACAAGTTACAAGTTGTAGCTTGTAACATGTTGTTTATTATGAAATAGACCCCAGGAAATTTGGATGGTTATCTGTTACTTTTTGACAAAACTATGTATAAAGGCTGACGTAATAAGCCATATATTTTTTAAATCTGGTAGCAAAAAGGATTAAGAAAAGATTTAGTGTTTTATATATGATTATCTAAAAGGTGAGTTGTCCAAGACGCGTCTTAAGAGATCATCACAGAGCGGGATTACCCCATACCATCAATACGGTTTACCATTACCATTATATACCTACAGGCATATATAGTAGGTATATATAGTCAATTGACTGTAGGTATATATAGTCAATGCCATTACATAGAGGATACGCGTCCGGTAACCGGACGTGGATAAGGCGTACGGCAATGACGTCATGGGGTTGCGGGAGCCTGGAACGCCTTTACTACAACAATACCATGTCCAACCATCGGTGGTCGTGGTGTAGTGGATAAGATGCTCGGCTGATATGCATGAGGTCCGGGGTTCGAGTCCCATTAGTGACTTTAACATTTTGTCGAAGATTTTGCATTGAATACCATTTATTCTTAACTGTACATCTTTTATTAGAATTTTTGGCATTAAAAATTTTTTTTATAGAGAAAGAATTTAACCTTAATTTGATTTTTTCATTATCAGCAAGTTTGGTTGGTTAGGTTAGGTTATGACAGTAATTGCCGGACGTCTAATCCACGACTGGTTACCGGACGTGTATCCTCTGCCTTACCATTAACCTTACAAAAACACTTGGACATACTAAATTATTATTATTATTATTTTTAAGCTCTTTAAAAAGGTCTAGAGAGAAATTGGGAAATTTTGTGTTTTGAGGGTAAAAAATTAGAAAACCCATTTTTACCCCACTAAACCACGTTCCCTATGTTCTGATCATGCTGGTTCGCGAACTCATTTAAGTTTATCTGGCCTTACACCTTTAAACCAAATTTAATCAAAATTACATAAATTACTCAAGCTATCGCGTTCACGGACGTTCATATATGTTTATATATAAATTTGAACGAATGGTGTTTTTTCCCTCTGGGGACATCAAAATGAAAAAGTAATCGGTCCCGGGCCTAGGTCTTCTTACCGTGCCACCTACGGTAATATAGCTACGTTCCCATTGGGAAATTCGCTAAAATTGGAGGGGAGGGTGAGGAAAGCGTAAGAGAGAGAATCAGGGACTTTTGGGAAGACACAAATCTCAATATGATCTAACAGCATAGAAAAATTCAGCTTTCCCCTAATTACTTCTGACATCTGCTTTACCTTTATTGACCAGGCTAAATACGCAGACAATTAATTAAACCTTTATTTAACTTTAATTTAGAATCAACTGATCAAACATTTATGTCTTAAATATAATAGTAGATGTTTAAATTAACACATTATTTCAGTAATTAGGAATATCTAACAACTGACAATAGGTTTACTAAAACAAATTGTATTGTAGTTCAATTTTTGTGTGTTTTTGGTCTATATTAAACTCTGCTTGAAGAACTGTAATGCTAATAGATTAGCACCTGATAACACTAGAAAGAATTCCATAGAGTTAAATTTGCAACCTAAGAAAGCTGCAATGTTAAACACTCCTGTTAGTCCTCCATACAATATGTCATCCTTCTTGTAAGCTGAGAAACCAACTGAAATAGAATTGCAAATGGCACTCAGGTCAACTAGATCTTGAGGAACATTTTTCTTGAGAACTTCAGTAAGTACAACATATGCAATTGGGAATACGAGGTGGCAATAAGAAAACTTTTCTTCAAAACCTGCAAACAGAATAGCTTCTGCTGCAACAAGTGGTGTGTAGCACGGCTTTGAAACTCTATCCACAAACGCAAGTGCTTTCTTCACTTTTGCATTGCTTTTGGGCAATCCTGAAACATATAAACCCTTTAATAAAATGATACATAAAATAGAAATCCATAATGCAAGAAAGAAATTAGGAACACACACCTTTAGATTGCCTGGTATCGTAAAACGCAGGCAGAGCCATTCTTTCCCAAGCTGTTTCATGTTTTGAAAACTTTTCAATTAAAGTTGACTCTCTCTTTCTTATCTTATCTCTCTTCTTTTTACTAGATATCTGTTGAACCTATGTCTACAATCAGCAGAACTGACATATCTTTTACCAGACAATTTTTATAAGTAGGCCTACATTGGTTTAACAGCTGCATTAATGGAACAACTTTTCTTGTGGGTAAGACAAATTTGATCAAAATATATCCTCAAACAAACCAACTACAACTAACAGTTTACTTTTTATTCATAAGAATAACATGGGATTTTTAAATGTATAGCCTACAGTTTTTGGGAATTATTTCTGGAACCATGATGGTACAGATTACAAATAGTCTTAAATCTACAAAATTATTTGCTTTCTCAAGCTGTAGATGATTGCTGTAATACAAATTGTTAATTCGTTTACATAAAGTGTAAACAATTTGAAATAAAAAATAAATTATGAAAAACTTTAAAAACCAAGACCTTGCTCCATAACCCGATCTTGCTGATTCCCCATATCAATCAAGTTGATGCTGCCCTACAACGCAAAATGCTACAGCTGTTCATGGATGCCAAATTTAATCAAAATTGGACCAAAATTACTCGTTGTTCACAAACACATAGGTACTGTAGTCAATAAAAATGTGAATGAATAGTGTTTTGATCTCTGGAGACATCATAGGCCTAAGGAAAAATAAAATGGGTCGGTTCTAGGTCTTATTGTACCACCCACTGTCGGTAATAACTACTTCACTAGAGGGAATGTGCCATTGTGGGAGTGGAAGGAGCTTTGCTTGTGGGAAACATTTTATGTAAACCCACCCCACAAGGTAGAATAATTTTATTGGAGACGTCATATCAAAAAACATTATTTTGTGAAAAGTGATCAATGTGAGCAAGTCGTGTCTGGAGAGAAACTTGTGGTGCACATCATGAATAAGAAACACAATTGACTTAAAAACTCCTTTGACGTGATATATAGGCCTATGGAACTGAATTCTAGGGCTTTGAATCAAACATTAATTTAATTTTTAAGATTCAGAAAAAAATGTTTAGAATAATGACATTTGCACCATGGAGGTAAGCCAATTTTTAAAGAGTTAGGAGTAATGACTTTTCCAAGTTTGACACTTTTGATGGTAGAAGGAAATTTAAAAAAATTATGTAGTGAAAACGTTGAGCATAGGTATGATAGGTAGGTTTAAAACTAAGTTTCAATATCCGCAGCATCGTCTTTCAATAGAAGAAAAACCCTGACATACATGGGCAAAAAACTATTTAGGCCTAATGTCTCAAGAATAAAAAAAATTATTAGATAAATTAAAAAAATAATAAACAATACTTTAAAAAAATGCAACGTTTTTAAACTCACTAAAAAGTAGAAAATAATTTATAAATATATTGAGAAAATAATACTTGTAAGATTTAAAACTAAAAACAAGGGGTGCATGCTAATTTACAATTAACTTCAACTATTAAACTAAAATATGATCTATTGCATGTACCCCACACAATCCTGCCAAAACCCCAATCAGCCCAAGGGAAATATGAAAATTAAATGATATAATATTGCATTGTCATCCATTCGTGAGCTATGTTTCAAGTTTCAAGTCTCTAGCTCATTGTGAAGTTAGTATAAAATTGATTGCAAAATTTGTACCGGACAAGAAAGCAGAAAGCGAGCTAATAAAAACGTTCTAAAATACAGTCCAAGCATTTCAAAAGTAGCCTTGCTAATTTTCTTTAAGAAAAACCAATTACAGTGAGTTCTTAACTGATCAGGATCTGTAAAAATAAATTTGTTTTTAACTTGGTCATAACTTTTTAACTGGATACATTTAGTTATAAACCACTGTTATTTTCATAGTTTCAGTTTATTTAGTCTTAAGGTATTTGTATTTTGACAATGTCACCTGTTTTTTAGCATTGCTATATTTGTAAACGTTATTTGACAATATAAGATTTATTTATTTAGTTCCTTCAAATGGGTTAGCTAATAATTGTTATCGCAGACATGCAATCAGGCTGAAAACCAAATAGCCTAGGTATTTAAAAAGTTAAGAAACCCATTACCTTTCTGTTCTTGTGTTTTTTTTCCATTTCGAGACAAACATTGAACTGCTTTTAACTATTATTGGATAATAAGAGAAAAATAGAAAGTTACCTATAGTATCTTGCTATTTCCACAGTGGATTTGTAATTCAGTAGGACAATCAATGTTTTACACAGGATTATTGGAAATCCAACCGCCTCAACTTAAGTTACTTTTCCTGCATTTTCCTGGGGTAACAATTTTCTTGAGCTAGGTAATCCAATCCGTCTGAGTCAATGGCCAACCCAAGTCTACTGATTGTTTATTGTTCCAATACTTTTTTATTTATTTATTTATATGATGGTAACAACCATTTACAATAATATGCTAATATGCTAAAAATTCTAACAAAACAATACATACGGTATGAAAAATTTGATGGCTAACATTGGTATGGTGGTTAACATCATGTCATATTTTTACAATAGTTAATAATAAATGTATGTATAGTGTTATAGTACATGCTTAACTACACAAAAGATACTGCTAAGCTTCTTAGCTTAGCCTATCTGGTGGAAGGCACTGTCTAATGACACCCAGTCCTTTAGAAAGACAGCTCTCTACAGCCTAGGAAGAGGAAGACAGTATCCCGAGTTCATATCCTAACTTTGTTCTTGGTTCTGTTTTTTAGTGTCATAAAGAGATAATTCACTCAACTTATCTGATGGTCAGTAAATTAACCCAAATAAGTTTCAGAAGGTTTAGAAACCTTTTCAAATGCCTAACTTTATCTAAAAAAAACTAACTTAGTGTATTGTATAATGACACAGAAAGTGCCAACTTTCAATTTAATATGCACATGCAGTCCAAATAAGAGCCATTAGCAATATTTCAAAGATCCACTTCATAGCTTGAGTCTAACAATTTGGCTGCCAGTAAAGAAGGCTATAGAATAGAATAACAAGATGAAGATGAAGGTTAGAGAGACAAGATTATTTATCAAACAAATGTATCAAATAAACGTAATGAACAATGCCAATGCATTCCTTACTTACCATAGTCCAAAATCCCTAATGCTCCATCCACAGCATACAATGCAAATGCAACTCTGACATATTTCAAATCCATGCACTGTGACAATGAATAACCAGAAGTAGCTAAAAGAGCCACACGGCCGATGGCTACATTCAAATCACCCATTATTTAAATGTAATAATTAGTTCAATTTGGCGAGGTTTAGATTGTTTGAATTCAAGTATTAAAAAAAGTTAGTACAAGGAAAAGAAAACAGAATCACAATAGATTCCATAATATCATATGGCCCAATGCCAATGATCGTGATTTAACAATGTAGTGCCAATGCCTCTTGTATTTCAGTGGCGAGTGGCCAAAATATAACACATTACTGTAATGTATACGTAAAGACAATAATTATAATGTTATAAAATCTAATTTTATGTTGTGTCATACCATAGACTAACCAGCACAATAAGACTTCTAATTCCATTGTAAATGTTGAAGCTCGTTTTTCGTGTCTAGTTCATGCCCGGTAATACTGATCGCTAGTATCGACAACACTTTTTTTCTATCATTTTAGAGTTCATTTGATGAATTGTGCTTTAAGCACGGGTCACACTAGGCTGTTCGCCAGCCGCTGGTGATCAGCAGCTGGCAAACAGCCTAGTGTGACCCGTGCTTTAGTGTTTGGTTATATAACTAGATGGCGAGTTATTGTTTATGATTGGATCATGTTTATGTTAAAAGGGGCTTTTAATTACTGAAACAACAAGAGACAAATTTCACAAAACACGATCTCTACTCTCTACAGTGCACCAGACAGAACGGGTCGCCGGAAGACTGCCCCCCGGAAAACTATACCCCCAAGCACGGTCCTACGTCATATTGACATCAGGGACCGGGGGGGGGGGTGTTTTCCAGTCACGGACACTCAAATTTTGTTGTCAAACAGTTCTAATGTAACCTAACCTAACCTAACCAACCAAACTTGCTGTAACATTTCGAAAATCTGTTTTATATTCACCACATGCCTTTCCTATTATCTAACGGAGTTACTGGAATTAAAATTAAAATTACATAGCATGATTTGTCTAGGGGGGGTAGTATTCCAGTCGCGGACACGGCTTCCTGGTTAGTTGGCAGATTTTGTGACGTCACGTTTCACCTGGGGGGTAGTTTTCCGGGGGATAGTATTCCGCATCCCCGACAGAACCTATGATAGAATATGATAAAGCATAGTCCCTTAGTAGATTTCCCATCCTTATGGAACAGCTGAAACCAATTTTATTGTTAGTTCTGTCCGGTTTTCTGTAGATGTCGTGTCCTATTATTTTAGGGTTAGTTTCTCATTTTGTGCCTCACTGTTAGGTTATATAGCTAGTGGACGAGTTATTGTTTATGATTAGATAGTTTTATTTGGTTAGGTTTTAAATTACTGAAATAACAAGAAAAAAATTGTAAACAAAACACGACACCTACAGAAAACCGGACAGAACTAACAATAAAATTGGCTTCAGCTGTTCCATAAGGATGGGAAATCTACTAAGGGAGTATGTTTTATCATAGACTAGTATGTTTTATCTATGGTTTTATCTAAGGTACTATGTTTTATGTTTTTGTATTAGTAGTCAAAGGTTTTATCTATGGTTTTGCTTCAGCTCTTCCATAAGGTCGAGAAATCTACTAAGGGAGTACCGGTATGTTTTATCCATGGACATACGTTGCGTCATACCTATTTTCTTTTTCCATTATGTATTAACGTCAAACATACCGTACTCAATAACTTATTAGATTTGTCATCCTTATGGCTCAGCCCAGCTCAAGACAATTTAAATGTTAGTTCCGTCCGGTTCCGCTAGGATCTGTTTTTTGTTCTGTTTCTTATCATTTCAGTAATTTAATACCTCGTTTAGCCATAACCAAATGAAACTATCGAATCATAAACAATAACACGTGCTCTTAGCCCCTAATTTTATAACCAAAAAGTAAAGCACACACCTGCACAGTAATTAAAATAACAGAAACAAAATATCGTCAACACTCACCCAGTGTCACCGAAACCCCGAACCGAAACGAAGTTACGAACTACTGTAGATATGAGAGACAAGCTGCAGACATTGACTTTGACTAACTAACACAAGTAGACTTCTCAATCCCATTGTAAATTTTGCAGCTAGTTCAATCAATGCCCGCGCCCGGTGATACTGATCGCTATATAGCATAGATAAAACATACACCGGCCTTGGTAAATTTCTCATCCTTATGGAAAGCTGGGACCAATTTTATCGTTAGTTCTGTCAGGTGCACTGTAGATGTCGCGTTTTCTTTACATGTTGTTTCTTGTTATTTCAGTCTTTTAAAACCTCGTTTAACCAAATAAAACGATACATAATCATAAACAATAACTCATCCTCTAGTTATATAACCAAACACTAAAGCATAAATAATGAAATTATAACTCTAAAATAATAGAAACAAAATTTCGTGGACACTTAATTTCTAAACCCCTAGCAAATATAATCAACAGTTCATTTATAACAGGAATATACCCTGACTCACTAATCACTGTTGTGTTGTGAAACCATTGTTTGAAAAAGGCAAACCAAAGATGTGTGGTAACTACAGACCCATAACTCTAGTCTCAACTACATCTAAAAAAGGAAAATCCAACGAATGCAATGTTTACCCTAATAAATAAAGTAGTACGGGCTCTACACAACTTTGCTGTTGGAGGAGCACCATCCTGTTGAAAGTTATTCCTCCAAGTTCTGGTTCAATAAATCATCCAAAAGTTGTGTTAGAGTGTGCTGAAGGAAGTCTAAATACACAGTCCCATTCAAATTTAATTTCCTTCGATAACATGGCGACCTATGAACTGGTCCCCAATCACACCTGGCGAAACACTAATTCCAAACCATTTCTGGAATGAAGCTTTTCTCATTGCTTTTGGATTTTCTGCCATCCGAAGGTACATGTTGTAATGAAACAAAATTTGCTGTCCACAGTATTATTTTTTTAAAGTAACATTCCTCAATATCCCGTTGGAGGAGCCGACATAACTCTCTCCTGGTCTCTTAGTCACTGGGTTCTGGTCGGTCACTGGATTTTTTTTTTTAATGATAAAGATGAAAGTGGTTATTTTAGCCTTTTGTGCTTATGGCTATAATTTTTTTAGAGTTAAATACTACTCTAAAGCCACTTAAAAAAAAAAATATTTACTTGTTCTGGAGGTAATCAAACTTTCTTAATATTTTAGTTTAGAGTGATAAGTTATTTCTATTAACAGTGTTTTTTCACGACTTTTCCCCCCAGAATTTCCCGGAACTCCCGAATGCTGGACACCCTGTCTTTGCATTTATACTCATTGAACTGGTAAAAGTTCGATGAGATGGATGGTTTTATAAGTTGTGTATTATTCCAGCTTCAAGAACGAATTATTAATAAACTAGTTTACCTTGTGGTTGCCAGATTCTTGAAATGTGTACAGTAGATATCTTGCTCGATGTACATTTCGCTACATGTGTAGCATCGTCAGGAGCACAGTTTGTCACATTAGTCTATTTAACACAAACACTATTTACAAATATATACATTTTCGGTCGGATGACGATTTACGTTAAAGTCATAGGAATCCAGCGCGCGAACGCGTGCGTGGACCACGGTGCGGACCGGAGCATAGCGGACTGTAGCGAAATGTACATCGAGCAAGATATCTACTGTACACATTTCAAGAATCTGGCAACCACAAGGTAAACTAGGATGGTTTTAACTTATCATTTTAAAGCTAATTTTAAGCAGAATCTTTTGATAACATTTGACACTTTTTATAGTCATGTTGGAACAAAACCTTTGAATGTAATTTGATTTTTCAATGAAAACAAAAATTTAAACTTCTATCTCCAAACTTAAGTTTACAATCATAATTAACCCTTGTAGGTAAGCGATTTGTCTTATTGAAAACTTCATGAGGAACCTGAAAAAATATATTAAAATTTTACAAAAAAAAAAAAAAACAATTTTTAGTGAAGAAACATCAATTTTTTCTGAACAGGTATGAACATTAAAAAACATCAATTAATTGATCATACAATCACTCTAAGGGTGTAGAATCTTAAATATGCACCATTTGGTTACTAATACAATGTATTCTAATCTAATTTTTCTAACACTTATGACCACTGACCAGCCATCCTATACATCTATTTGTGTGTGTCCGTTAACACGATAATCCGAGTAAAGATTATCCAAGCCGGTATGATCGGACTGATTCTTAAAATAAAGTAGTTTATGAAAATTAAATAAATAGGATAATACTAACAGTTAAGTTATAACTAAACAGTTTAAAGAACTGAGTAGGCTCAGGTTCGACAGACTGCCCCAATGAAATGTGTGTACTTACAACAAGTAATAAAGTAAGTAGACAAGCAGGGAGAGATTAATACAGACCTCAAATTGAAAACAAAAGTATATTATCGGCATTTACTACAACACATTCTAAACAAAATTTCTTATTATTAGCTATTGGAATTTATTCTTCGTCATCAGGGGGTATTCCTAGCTCAGCATCAGTCCATTTGGACGGGTCCGGATAATCGTATTCTCCCTGAAAAGCAGACATTATCAAATATTTATTCTTTGATCAAGGCATATCATTCAGGTATAGATTGGTCTGTATATGATAGATGGCTTTAGTCTTATTTATTGAAACTTTTCATTTAAACCTAACAAATTGATTTTGATTTGATCTTTTAAATGTTAGCTTTTTTAGGTAAAGTATGACTCAATACCTTTGTACAATTTTAGAAAATAGTGCACAATAGGAAATATTATGATTTTGTATTATAAAATCAGAACCCATGTCCGATGTGTGGAATGGAGGTGTGCAAGCGACTTGATGCTGGGCTGAACCAAGCTTGGCCTAAGCCAGCTTGAATGATTGAACACAAACAAAAAACTCAAGTCAGCCAAGATTTTACTAGCAGAAAGCGGTTTATGAGAATATTGTGCAATCGAGAATCCACAATGTTGTTTTGATCATGGGGGACGATCACAATGTCTCTGCAATGTAGAAGAGGCTAATAACTTCATATTGTTGTTTGTCAAATACAGATATCTATGAGGGTTGTCTGTGGATTAAGGTCTCCATCACAGGAATCCAAGACCAACGTCGTGTTTCTTACTTCATCTACTACTATTCTAGCCACTTTCCATCCATATGGAAAGATAATCTCATCTTAGAAAACGTTGTGAAGGAAAATTTATGCTTCCATTGTATGAACCGCGTTCTTTGATTAGGTTTCTGTAGGAAGGGGCAACTGATGCCAGTTGACAGATGTGTATGCAGAAGTGTTTTGTTGTTGAAAATGGTTCAGGTTATGGTAATGGGACGAGTGCTTTAGTGAGTTGTGTATAGTGTACACTGCCGGCGAAATTTATTCAATGTTCTTAAGTTTGATTCGAGACAGTAATTCAAACTGGAAAATTCCTATGCTGTTCGGCATATTTCAGACAGACATCCAGGACTGGCCACAGTCCATTATGAGATGCCCCGTATTAGTTTTACAATCTCTCTCATTCAATTACACCGTAATCCGGATGCAAAACTCCCCTTACATTGGTCACTAAAGAGATATGAATGACAGCAGTCGGCCTACACTATATGGAAAAACATAGTGCAAATTGGTTGGACCACCTCCAAACTCCATTCAGCCTTTGTGTCTATTTTCTAGATCAAAACACTTGTTCCCCAACTGGTGATGAACTTCAAAAGCAATTGACGTCTGAGACCACATGAATCTAATCACAGAACATGATTTATACTTGGTAGCAGCTGCAGCGCCAGTTCTTATCATAACATTTTTTAATACTAGACCAGACAAATGTCGTCCGGTCGAGTTTTAACTAAACGAGCGTACGCTACAAAAATACGTGTAAATAGCATGCTAAAATGTTCTGTGTTTGTGTATATATGTGGTTCCTGGAAAATAGTCGACAATCATCTCTCGATGTGAAAATTTTCACATACAAAAATGCTGCTGAAGATGAGCCGTATTAGGCTCGAAACATGTACAGCATAATTATGTACAATTGACACCTACTGGCATACGTAAGTAGATTATTATCTATAGTAAACATATTAAAGGTGTCAAGGCTGATTAATTTGATATAAATAAACATTCTGTCTAGTAACAAAATCGTTGCTTGTATCTTTAATTTTGACAAAAAATTCTGTACCGTATTAAGATGGATTTGGAAAGCATCAACTAATACATTACAGTACTAAAGTTATTAAAATAGGAATTATTATCGACTCTTGCCTAGTACTATATAATCTATTCCACTGAAAGTAGGCCTATTTGATTTAACTGTGTTTTGTGTTTATTTGTGACTTTTCTATCAATACTGTACACAAAAAAAGGAGATAAGAGTAGTTTATTTTATGAATAACTAGCTGTACCCGCGGGCTTTGCCCCGTTTAACTTCACAAGTGAGCTCGTTCGCTCCGCTCACTTGCTGTTAAGCTGTTAAGAAATTCCTTTTAAATATGAAAAATCATAAGGTTAACATGGGAAACTCCAGAGCCACTGGGGCGGAGCCCGAAAGCCCGATCAGAATTAAAACTACTTAGTTTTCCTATTTTATGCCCAAAGAATCAGTGTACCGAATTTCAGCCTCCTATGTAAATGGGAAGTGGGAGAATTATTGATGAGTGAGTGAGTGAGTCAGTCAGTGAGGGCTTTGCCTTTAATATATTTAGATGCAAGTATGACTTCAAAATAATGATTATATAATTCGAAATGAATAGCACTTCATTATGTTATGATTTTAGGGATTGCCCGTTTTAACCAAACTTTTGAGTTATCCGGCCTAGGTCATTAGGGTCGGTTAAGAGGGGGTCTACTGTATTAAACAACAGCAAATGTCATGCCATTAGAGTAATCATGGATCGTTGGACAGTACAACACTGTGCCTTTTAATTGAAGCCTATTTGAAAAATAACGAGCCTATGATTGTAACTCAGTGGTTATTTTAAAATAATTTCAACGTCCGTCGTCATGCTACGGTTCTCTCTAGAGTACTACGAATAATGAATAATGAAGTTTATTTCCCACAAAAAAACCACAATGTAACAATACATGAGATGTAACTATCCATAGGCGGGTGATTTATTTAAGAACTAAGGGACCTGTTCTCAAATATAAACCTCTAGGGAGGTCAGTCTGTGCGTACAGTCACAGAAAACATACTACTATAACCCAGAAAGCCAACCGCATGGTAAAAAGCATTAAGCGTTTTGAGAGAGCTTTGCCTGTCAATCCGTAGGCAGCGCCACCAGTGTTGCCATGCACTCAGCATAGCAATGCTGGTGGCGCTGCCTACGAATTGACAGGTAAAGCTCTCTCAAAACGCCTAATGCTGTTTACCATGTGGTTGGCATTCTGGGTTAAAGTAGTATGTTTTCTGTGGTACAGATGAGAACATCACAAGAGTTCAGGAATCTGTTCCCCAAAGTCCAAAAAGATCAGCAAAAAAACATTCTGTTGCTTTAGGTGTTTCTAGGACCAGTTTAGGGGACATCGTATTTTACATGACGATTTTAATTTACATCCTTACAAACTGGATGTTGCACAGAAGCTCAATCAAGGTGACCCTAGATTATGTCTGATGTTTTGTCGTAAGCTTTAAATTAACCTTCTGGGGTGCCTTATAATGTCTCTTATTTAATTTAAATAAGCTTCAAGGTAAAAGGCACGGTGTTGTACTGTCCAACAATACATGATTACTGAAATGGCATAACATTTGTTGTTGTAATACAAATTCTTTGAGAAACAACAGCTGATTGACATTTGTTTAAAAATTATCCTTTATTTATGTACAGTAGACTCTCGCTCATCCGGACTAATGTGGCGGACGTCCGGTCCGGATTACGAAAAATCTGGACTATCGAGAGTCGAGCAAAACAGTACTGTATATAGCCGTTTTTACAATTTTGTTCCAGGTCCACAGTATTGATAGCCGGGAAAATGCAGTTCCACCAGTAATAATTTTTCACCGCCGTGTTATCTGAGTTTTTGAACATCCGAGGTAGTCTCGGTCCAATTTAGCTTGGATAATCGGACTTCTACTGTACTGTGCCACTAAAAATATCACTACTGCCGATCCAGATTAGCGGGAATCTGGATAAGGCCGATCCGGATGAGCGAGAGTCTACTGTACCATGTTACATATGTTTTATATATATATGCAGTGCTTGATTTGTAAATAATGAGGTGCCGGAACTGTAACCTATTTAATGTAATTAGTCCCTATTTGACAATATTTTTATCTTTCTAAAAGAGTGGCACCGGAACACCATTCTGCCAAGTTCCACTACAAATCCAGCACTGCACATGTATTCATAAGGTGTGTATGTAGAATAGTTGTGTTACCTAATTATTTTTCATAACATATCACCTAGAATAGTTATTATGTAAATTAAGTAACATGGCATTAATCTAAGATTTGAACCAGTTGGCTTGGCTACGAGGGGAAGTTTTGTGGACAACCCTAATACATTTCATTCTAATACAAGCTTAGCTTTTGTCATCTTGTGAAACATCAGGCTATCTGCCACAATCAGGGTAACGTGTAGAATTGGATTTAAGTTCTTTAAAAAACAATCACATGTTCTGGTGTGTTGGGATATTGAATTAATGTTTGCATATTATGTGTTTATCATGACAAGTTAAAGCAGGCCTACTTACCACAATATGACCTGGTTGGTGATACAAATGCCAGAGAATCCACCAGATTCCAAAACCCATAAGACCATCTCTTATCATAAAATGGCTTTTTGGCACATTTTCAACAGCCAGTCTTCGGTAAGTCCAACTACAAAAAGATAATGCAAGAAACAGCTTCAAATGTAGGGTAAGGGTAGATTTGTATTTGATTGTAAATCTTAATTAGATAGGTAGCATCTTCTTCAAAACACTTAGGCCTACTACACAACATTTAAAATTTAACTTTGGTGACACGAATAAACAGTAGAAAGGACAAGATTATGTATCAAAGCATAAAAATGAAAGTATTACGGTATCTGATTTTAATACAAACTCTGAGAAGTATTACACAAAATACCAAGGATATAGGTCTAGAGGCAAACTTAAGACCACAATTTATTTGCCAATTTTTAACCTTCCACCGGGCTTCATGACTGAAGTTACCGTCAGGTCACTACATTTTTATAATAAAAACCTTAGTTTGAGTTTGGCATGTCTGTCACCTGCCGTACATCATGCACCTCTTTCACAAAAACGGTTTCTGGCTCCTCTTACCCCTTTCCCAGTTATCAGTCGACATTAGGGAGTGGTTTAGGTAAGTACTTGCGCCCTTTGACCTTATTTTGCGATATTATAAAATAGATGAGGAAGAACAAAACTGTGTGATTGTTGGCTAGTGTTGAAGGGTAGGACAGGGAACAGCATTTAGTGGAAAGACCCACAACAACAACAATAAACAATAAACATCGTTTGGTTCCCCAAAAAAAGTTCTCAAACAAATGAACTCATCTCTCAAATCTTTTTTTGGGGAACCAAACGATGTTTATTGTTATTCATCCAATAAAATATTGTTGTTTCATCGCAGAACTGTACCCCTTTGGAGTAATACAGCAGGATCAGCATGTTCTAAGGTAAAAGAATAGGATTTAAGTAGACTACCTTCATCAATAAGCTAAAAAGTTGTACCCTAACCATAGTTAGGCTACCTAGGTACTCATGTGTGACATTATACTTCCACTAGGTGTACAATGCAGTTGTCTGCTTGCAATATTGAGCGGAGCCAGCATATTCAATATCAATGATTTTTTTTGCATTTTAAATAGAATGCCTATTTGCAGAGGTATCCAAAGTCAATCATAAGTCAGGATTAAGTGAATGAATCGTCTACTTGCAGGAACCGTATTCTATGTTTCATCTGGTTCTCATAAATTAAATGTCTACTTGCAGTATCCAATGCCAATGATATATTTGGTTCGCATAAATGGAATGCCTATTTACAGATTCTAAAGTCAATAGTACGTATGGTTCACGTAGACGGATTGTTTACTTGTAGTATCCAAACCCAATGGTACATGTAAATGAATAGTCTACTTGCAGTATCCTCAATAAATCAATGGTCCATTTATTTTGTTCACATAAATAAAATGCCTAATTGCAGTATCCGAAGTCAATGGTAGGCTTTTAGGCCTACTTCTGCTTCACTTATATGGGATGTCTATGTGCAGTATTCAAAGTCAATGATACGTCGGGTTCAAGTCAACGAATTGTGTTATATTTGGTTCACATTAGTGGAATTCCTATTTGTAGACTGCAAATAGGAATTGAACATGTTCCAATCAGATAGATATTCAAAGTCTACATTAATTGCACGTCTTGCTCACATAAAATGCTGTAAGTTATTTACAGATTCCAAACGCAATATGGTGCATCAGCCTAATTCCGGCAACCCTTATTATTGGTTTAAGTCCTGTGGTCCGAATATTACCATTTCAGATTTATACCTTCCCATATGGTTGGTTACATGACTGTGCCAAATTTCCTGCAGATCGCTTAAGCCTGTCAGGTGGAGCCTGACCTGTATTTGTAAAACAAAGGCAGTGAGTGTAGTATAAGAGCTTCGCTTCACTCCGCTCAATAATTTCGATACTGCAAATGAATCATGGTAGGCCTAAGCAATACCTGTATTATTAAAAGGCAATAACGACTATTATTATATTATTATTACCCATTGTATGTAGAATTTGCTTTTCTTTATTTTTTTTTCAATGTCTTCTTTCTTCATTATTAAAAAAAGAATCATTTATTTGTACAGAAGACTTACTTGCATTAAACATTCATAAAACTCACCAATTCAATTACCTCAATAACTGTTTACCAGTATTATTGTTGTGAGGGATTGGGGTTAGCCTCACTTAGTATAGGCCTATAACTTAGGTCTAGTTTTATTTTAGGAGTTAAAAGTAAGAAATTGTCGTCAACCACTTTCAAAATTTCCCTATTGTGCAATAAAATTTATCAATACAACTATTTTATTGTCTAAGTTACACCATTTAGTCTTAAACCTTACCTGTAAACCACGTGGTTGTGATTTTATTTCGTAAAACGATTTTGTATTTTTAGCTACAAGAACATTTTTTACAAAGTTTCTTGCAAATCAAGGGCGGTGTGATTTTTGTTGGTATAATTATGTTGTAGTGTTTTTTTAATGACCTCGTTTTATCTTCTCCTTCTCCAAGCAACATAAACTTAGGCCTAATTAGTTAACTATTCATTGTTGTTAAAAAGAACAGAACCATTTTACAATTAAATATAAACAGCATGGAGTTTAATCACTCAATATAGAACTGATTGTTAATCATTTCGTATTACATACAATATACTATAATATGCTCTTTAGTATTATCCAATTTTTTCTTTTGTACTGTATTTATCATGTGGTAGATTTGTTGACTAATGTTGAGGCTCTTGTTTACTTTTTAGTGTTTACTCGCAAATAATGACATGGCGACCAATTAACCCATAAGGCCCATGTTAAATTTCCAAAAGTTTGCATTCATGTAGGGAAAAGTCCTATGGTCCTATTTGTACCGTTTCAGATTTATACCTTCCCATGGTTGGTTACTATGACTGTGTTAAATTTCATGCAGATCGCTTCAGCCGTTCAGGAGGAGTATTTGTAATAAAAAAGCAGGAGTGTAGTATAAGAGCTTCGCTCGCTCCGCTCAATAATCAGAAACATACAGATCTGGGTTCAGGGCCGGTTTAACCCATACGCAAACTACGCGGCCGCATATGGCGCCAATGGAACAATTTTTTTTACATGAACAACGTAATTTTGTTTATTTTTGCTCAGAGTCCAAGTATACTACAATAAAGGCATTTATTCTGTTTGTAGGCCTACCAACAGCACTTTAAAAATGTGTATATTTGTACAGCACTACAACTCAAGGACTCAATGCCATTTGCAGTTTCGATTTGTAGTGAGCTGACGCTTGGCAGCGTACGGCGCGGCGCCGTTGGGTTTCATTTCACGACTCACTCATACTAACTACTAGAGCAGAGCATTACGTTGTATTGCACTCTTTTAGTTGTATACGTATTGGTATTGTATTTGCGTTGTTTTGATCAAATCAAATCAAATCATTCTTTATTCATTATACATAAAATAACATGTATTGAATAGAGTCAAATAGGCTATAAATACATATAACTACATATTACAAAGTGCTTAAATTAAAATATACTATTAAGATAAGTGAAGAATTTCTAATTGAATATATTAAAAATATAACACTATTGCAATCACAATGACATTAGCAGTTATTAAAATAAAAAACATATACCCATTTTCCGGGCTTAAGTAAAAATATACACAGAAAAGAAAAAGTATTACTAATCATTGTGAAAATTTAAATTGTTCCCCTAATTTTGCTATGGAGTTCAAATTATGTAAGCTACTAATTTTTATTGTTTAAAAATTCTTCTATGGAATAAAATGAAAATTTAATTAAAAAGTCTTTTAGTGTTCTTTTAAATTTATTCAAATTGTCTTCCGTCTTTATATAAGCCAGCAGGTGTTGCAAAAAAATCAAACCTGAATAATAAGTTTTCTTTTTGAAAAATTCCAATTTATGTCGGGGTAGGTTAATTTTAAACCTAGTGTTATAGTCACCAGTATTGCTTGAAGTGGATGACAATTGAATTTGTTTTGCATAGACAGATGCTTCATATACCGGTATATACAGACTATACACCGTTAGGATTTGTAATTCCTTAAAATATCTCTTAGCTGATTGTTTTCTTTGCAGTTTCATCATTAGACGAATAGCTCTCTTTTGTTTGATAAGCATAGAATCCAAATTGGTCTTTGATGTTGCTCCATAAATAGATATTCCATAAGCTATGTGACTATGCAGTAATGAAAAGTATATTATCCTCAAAGTGTCTATGCTGCAGATCTGAGACATCTGTCTTAAAGCACATACACCAGAAGTCAATTTTTTAACAACATGTTTAACGTGATTGTCCCATGTAAGATTTTTGTCGATAATTAAACCAAGAAATTTAGTCTGTTCAACTTGGTCTATCTTGTCATTGTTTATGATCTATTTATCTATTTTATTTATTTATTTATTTATCTATTCTATCTATTTCGTCGTGATGATTCATGATTGTTGGTAAGTGTATGATTACGAGTGTTTTAAGTTTAATTTATAATTAGCGCACTAAATAAGAAGAAAGTATAAACTGAATAAATGAGTAAAACATCTTGCGAGCCGATACTAAGAAAACAATGGCAGAAAAAAAGAAAACGTCTGACACTTATTATAGAAATCGTAAGGCGAATTTGGAACAGGAAGATAAAAAACAAGCCAAATCAATGTGTAGGTAGATTTTTATTGAAATCATGTGGTGGCGAGGTTAGTCAGCCCGAAGGAGTCAAGATAGAAGACGGCAATGACGTAGGTATTTATTTATGTATTTCCCAAGGAAAGATTATAACAAGCAGCTGATCACAAACGGCAAACATTACGTCATTGTCGTCTTCTATCGTGACGTCATGCTTGACGAACATGACAGCCTGTTTTTTTAGTGTGGCCTTGGTTTTGCTTAAGTTCGTATGATGAGTAAAAGTGTAAAAATGTTAAATTTCTGCGAATAATAAACAATCTTTGGCCTACATTTTAAGTATTGTTCTAACTTAAACTTCTAACCGGCCCTGTCTGGGTTGAAGCAGCGTCGGCACAATTAAAACACACAAATATTAACAGAATGAACAGCTGTAAAAGTTAGACTACAGTAGCCTACAGGTTTTGAGCTGATTGAGGAATGATAGCTTATTTTCCAGCAAGTTACAGCTCAGCGGCTGAGAATATGGATTTAATTACATTGTTAAGCAAACGCATAGGCCTAAGTACCAGAAAAATGGGTTTGTCCATAAACAAAATGTAGCCTAGCCTATGATTGGTCCTAGGGACCTAGCCTATGTATCTCATATCATACTCACGCTCCATGGCTATCATGTCTGACTTGATTCCAATTTCGTCCTGGGGCGATAGCATTTTTTAAAAGACTAAAACTTCTTGAAAGACTCATCTTTTGTGTTACAATAAGCTGCGATCGAACTAACTATAAGATAGATGTCCTATATGCCCTTAACCTAAAAACAAACAACACATCAACATAGCATAGCACAATTTTCAATGTTCAGCAGGGAAATTGGTTAAGTTAGTCTTATTTTACTTGATGAAGGTGGAGAAATCGAGTATTGGTTGATTAAATAATACCATTGAGTATTGGATACGTCAAAGATAATACCTAAAATATATTAAAGTTAGTCCGATTCCGATTTCGCTAATTAATTGGAATTGGAATCCAAAATCCAATCAGATAAGATAGATTTTTTTTCCTTGCAGAAAAGGTGGTCTGGATTTTTTTTACCCATGAGACCTCAATGTTCTCTGTGGTTGTTTATTAGTAAATACCACCATGAGTAAACACAATCTTATTTTCCAGATAATTCAATGGTGAATAGATTGTTGTTAGTAAGAAACATAGATGTGCTATATCGTGGTGTATGTTGTTTTTGGGAATTAAAAGTAGGATTTGGGATTATAAAGATTTGACGGATTTCATGAAATGGAAGGTTTGACTCTTCTCTGCTTGGGGCCCTAACCCGAAATAAGGCTGGCCACGGATGAAGCCATGGAGCACCCAAAGGATTGAGAAAACATGTATGTACTTGTTTAGCTGTATTTTGTGTTCTATGTTTTGTGATATGAGTTTGCATGTTTTAATATTCTTTTCTTTATTGTGTTTAAGTATTTCTTTATTTCGGTGTGGATTTTTCATCTGCAACTTTCATTGTGTTGGCTAGGTTCTTTGAAAAATTGTTGCTGTATACTTTGGTCTTTTTAAGATATTTTTCTCTATCGTAGTCAATAAGTCATTTATTTAACCAAAATAACAATTACATGCATTGGTCATATCATTTAGCAAAACATACAGTTTCTTGACTTAAATAGGAAATAATTATTATTAAATTGTCAATTATCAAAGTCAAAAAATAAGAATAGTCAATTTCAGTACATTTCAACAACAACTATTTATTTACTCATTTTTCAATATTAAAAACATGTGACATTTAATCTTCACAAATAAGTAATAGCACAAATATAAAGATTAATCAATGGTCATACATATATATGAAATTAGTCATTAACATCTTTCCCCTCCTCAGGAAGAATGGCAATTTCTGTCATCGGACGCCGAAAAGTACTTTTTGGTGTTGTGATGTCAACAACTCTTACTTGTCCATCTCGACCGGGGTATAGGGCAGATATTCTTCCAAGGGGCCAGGTGTTACGTGCATTGTTTTTGTCTACGATTATTGCCAAGTCGTTAATTTCAGGTGGAATAGTTCTTTTGTCTTCATCCATCCAGGCTTTCCACTTCAGGTTCTCAGGAATATTCGAAAGCACTTGTTTTGAATTAGATATCCAGTTACAAATTTGAAACCCTCATCCAGCTCTATGTATCTCAATTATTTCTTGAACACGTCGTTAAGCTTCCTCTTCTGTGTCGGTCGAATCCAGCAGGTCGTCCATATATTCTTTAGTCAGTATGGAATTACTAGCTTCAGGATACAAAGAGTGAAACTGTCTTGCATTGAGGTTTAACAACAAACAGCTGAGTAGTGCATCATTGAAGGAAACTCCGTGAGATTTAGCAGCAGCATCGAAAACCAATCTTATTTTGTTAGGGTTTGTTCGGGTTCGATACTCCAAAGTGGGGTAGATAGAATGTTCGACCTGTTATGATAGCAGCTTTTTCAGGGCTGAGTTTTCTAATATAACCTTTTTCCATATATTCGTCAATCTTGGTTGTGTAAGCCTCTTTAAATTCCAGATCTTTTTCCATTTTCTTTTCAAGAGTATTTAATCTTCTCAGAGCATTGTCATAGCTTGGAGGAAAATTAAATTCGTCATCTTTCCATAAAAGACCAACTTCGTAACGATCTCCTGTTTTCGTTATGGTATCCTCAAGGATTGATACTCCACGTTCTTCTTCTTTTGACAATTTCAGGTCATTTGATCTAGTTTCTCCATATTTCTCTAATTCGAAGGATTTCTTTACCATGTCATGAAGTAAAGATTCTTCATATGAGAGTAGGGTAAAATTCTCATCCACACGATCTCTGAATTGTGCACACTTCCCATGTAGAGTCCAACCAAGAAGGCACCATGACAGTACTGGGGCGTTAGTAGGACCTTCAATAATCTTACGGGTTAGAATAAGATTACAGTTGTCTTGGCCTATCAAGAGAGTGGGCCTGACACTCGCTATTGGAAGAGGTTGGTTGATAGAGTCTAAGTGTGGCCAGTTTTTCCTCAATTTGATACTGTCTATTTGTTGGTGTGGTAACTCTAAAGTGGACTGAGTTCTGAGCCCTTTCAATGTAAAGATTTCATCCTCGTAAAATCCTTTTATTTTTAAATCTATTCTCTTTGATTGAGATTCAAAGTGTCTTGTGTTGTTAGACCAACATGTTGTCAAAGGAACAATCTCACCCTGGATACCAAGTTCATCGGCAATTGATGAATCCAGAAGTGATACAGTCGAGCCGTCGTCTAAAAGGGCATAAGTATCTACCTGGGACTTGGGACCGTACAACGTGACAGGACAAACACGAAGCAAAACACGGTTTGATATGTTATTCTCAAAATGATTACCGATTACTTCATCTCTAGATTTTAACTCTCCCTCATTTCTTTTCATTGGAGGTCTTTCAAGATTGGAGTTATGTAAGAGACGGTGATGGTACAGCTTACAACCGTTTATACTACAAGCTCTTTTAGATTTACAAAATTTAAGTTGATGTCGTTTGAAACAAGAAAAGCATAGCTTTTTCTCACCTACCATTTTCCACCTTTCGGAAATATCAGCTTTCCGAAGTATAGAGCATTTGTCATTATCGTGCTTACCACCACAGAACACGCAGGTAAGTGGGCCAACTGCGGGAACTGCTGCTTTTGAAGAGTTGGTCAACACAGGTTTGAAGTCGTTTTTCTTTCTAGTCGGGACGTCCTCGTTTGGATGAAAACTCATGATAGAACATTGTCTCTCTAACCAATCTGAAAAATCACTCAGGCTAGGTCTAGTTAAACACATACTGCTCACATGTTGAGCCCAATGGTACTTCATTTGATAAGGCAATTTTCCTAACAGTTCACTGAGTAGTTGGGGGTTTGTCATGTACTCCATATGAAGAGACTCAGCTGTCGAGGTAAAGTTAAGAATGGTTGTAGAAAACTCAATGAGGCCAACAATATCATCTTCAGTTACAGGGGCTAGCATTCTAGTTTGGTTCATCATAGACTCAATGATAAACTCGGGCTTACCGAAACGCATCTGTAACGTTTTAATTATGGCATGCAAGTTTTTACTGGAAACAAAAAGAGGTTTCACCATTTTGAAGGCTTCGCCTTCAAGACAGTTTCTAAGTCTAGCTAGATTGTCATCATCAGAATACAATTTTACCGTATTTTCAAATGCAGAAAAGAACATAGGCCACTCATCTGGTCTACCACTAAAGTTTGGTAGTTGTTGGCGGCAAAGAGAGGTTGGTTGAATAACTTTTTTGACTGAATCTGCTAGTAATTGTGCAGCCGTGGTCATAGCGGTTGATGAACACTGATGAACTGTCGGTTCATTATCATTCAGCCACTTTACGACTTTACTCTCAGATTCTCTCTTCTCTCTCTGAGATATTAAGCTTTGACTTATGCTTACCTCAGATCCGCAGACTTGACTACCATTTGCCGATAGTGATTTCATAGAAGCCCTTATTTCCAGCATTTGTTTACGTCGCTCTAGTTCCCTCTCGTCTCTCAGCCGTTGTCGCTCCATTTCCTTCTCCATCCGTTGTCGCTCCATTTCCTTCTCCTCCATCAGTCTTTGTCTTTCCAGCTCCTTTTCTTCATTTTCTCGTTCCAGTTTTTGTATTTCCTCCAACTTTTCAAGTTCTATTTCCATTTGTCTCCTGCTGCTTGATGTTGCTGATTTACTTTTTGTTTTCCTTGAACTACTAGAAGTAATGCTGGGTTGTCTCAATGCTACTCCTTGAGTGTCATTGTTTCCATTCTGAGAAACATTCTTTGATAATTTGTCTGTATCATGATTTTCATTCTGATCAGGGGTATACCTTTTTGGAGGTTTAACTTCTCTATTACTTTTTCTGTAAGACATGGATCTTTTTTAGTTTCGGCACCAATATTAAATTGTCAATTATCAAAGTCAAAAAATAAGAATAGTCAATTTCAGTACATTTCAACAACTATTTATTTACTCATTTTACAATATTAAAAACATGTGACATTTAATCTTCACAAATAAGTAATAGCACAAATATAAAGATTAATCAATGGTCATACATATATATGAAATTAGTCATTAACAATTATATTATTTAGGACATTGTAAAATCAGTTGGTCTAGAGTTTCATTTGTTCCCATAGAGCATTTTAAACATAGAGGTGTGAAATAACATTTCATTCTGTATAAACAATAAAAATATTCACATTAGCGTGTCCAAATCTTATTCTACATATATTTACAATGTAATTTCTGTTCATGTTTGTCGATTGGAACCATGGATTTCTGAGAAATGATATATTGATTTTTTGTACCATTGGGCTTTAAGTGGTTATTAATTTATCATTCAAAATGCCATCGTCTCTTTTTCTTTGCAATGATTTAAGGTAATCAATTTGTGACCTAGAATTCTTGATGAATTTCGTTGTTAGATGCCACACGTGCGTTTTTTTCACGCAGTATAATGTAGCTTATTCTCACGCCGGTTGAAGTCCAGGAGCGGCAAAATGCAGTGGGAACCCGCAGTTGATTGACGAATTCACGTAATTATGTTATATATATATATATATATATATATATATATATATATATCTTCCTCATGGCCGGAATATTAACTTTGTTTCTGACAGTGAACAAGAAATATAAATGGTATATTGATTTCTATACGAAAACAATACTAAAATTATTTTATTTTGTTAACCTTTCATTTAATTATTTACATTTAGTATAAAAAATGAATAAAATATATTAATTTCGATACGAAAACAGCACAAAAATTATTTTATTTTGACATTTAGTATAAAAACAAATAAATATAATATAAATATTTTTATGGCAAGATGTTCATCAGATCTTTGAATATTCTACTACATAAATGCCTCTTTACATTTTTTAGTCCAACTAAATGCCTTTCCTTTTAGTAACAAATTATTAAGTGGTCCAGTAAGGTTGACTATGTTTAAGATCCTACTGTGTAATTGGCTAGACCCAAAAATATTTTACGCTATCCTGGAAAAAATTAGATACATTTATCTTTATTTTAACTTGTTAGAACGACTTGATCAAAGCTGCGTGTTGCTCCCGCCCGTGTGGCCAGGGACAGAGCGTGAAAACAAGCTTCAAAAATGCACCACAGTCCATTCTTCTGCGGGCCCACGGCGGTCGATTTTGAAGACGCGCCGAATTTTCGTGAAAACACACTCCGTGTGGCATACCTCATTAGATAATGCTGGCCATATTTCTCGCGTTTTTTCACGCTGCGTTCTTGCGTGAAAAAACGCAAGAAATATGAGCAGCATTAAATGTAATGAGGTATGCCACACGCAGTGTGTTTTCCCGCAGTAGCGGGTGCCTATTTGTTTCAATGCTACCCTAATTTTTCGCGTGTTTTCACGCTGCGTTTGTGCGTGAAAAAAACGCCCGTGTGGCCGCAGCCTTCCTTATTGCAGCTTTTGCTAATTCGATAACCACTTCATTACCTCTTGCCTACATGACCAGGTATCCATTGTATGGTATATCTATTAGAGTTATTGTTAATTATTTCTTTTATTATGTTTAAAACCATGTCCTTGGTAATTTTTAGTCACCATGAATTGCATGGTCAATGTTTCTTAGCTTTATACACTGCATAAATTTCCGCAATGTAACCGGAAGTTTTATCATTTAATTTTAATCTTAACCCAGTATTGTTATATGGTACATGGTTTGTTGGATTTTGATTTTATAAGTTTTTTGTGGTTATCATTTTTCTTCATCTGTTCCGCCTAAGAGGCTAGCATCGGTCTGCTTAAACATGCAGTTGCGAAGTACACCTTTTAATTTATAAACTGTAACTGACTGTAGGTTAGTATAATTTGTTTTTATTTAATAATTGTGTAGCCTGGCAGACTGTAGAATTATAAAACATCGATGAACAGACTAGATACTTAGCCATAAAAGAGTCATAATACAGGCATTTGACGAAAATAATATATTATGTGTATTATACTACGTAGACTTCTCATCCCATTGTAAAATTTGAAGCTCGTTTTTCATGTCTAGTTCATGTACGCCACACTGGGCGCTAGTGTTGAGGAAATTTTGTTTATATTATTTTAGGGTTAATTTATTGATTTGTACTTTACTGTTTGGTTAAATAACTAGGGGACAATTTATTGTTAATGATTAGATCGTATGATTTGGTTAAACGAGGTTTTAAATGACGCTATTAACGGGAAACAAATTGTAAACAAAACACGACCTCTACATAAACCGTACAGAACTAACAATGAAATTGTCTTCAGCTGTTAAATTAGGTTGAGAAATCTACTAAGGGAGTATGTTACCTAATGCCATGATGGAAAAAAAACATAGATGTGCTATTCCCATCATATACTGACGTCACCCAGAATGTAAACAAAAATCACCTGAATTGCCATCTATAAGTATAAAGGAGGTTGTTTGTATATATATATATATATATATATATATATATATATATATATGTTTGGCAGTGATAAACTCAGACACCGCTGAACCGATTGCCACGAAACTTGGTACATACGTGTAGAATTTCATGGAATAGGTTTATACACCATCAATTTCGTGATCCGTCAAATCGGCTCCGCCCCAGTGGCTCTGGAGTTTCCCATGTTAACCTTATGAGAAATGGAATTAATGAATCTTAACAGCTGTTTCAATTAAACAAGTTGGTTCTGTTCTATGATGTTCAATAGCATTAAAGTTACAAGGATTACCAACAGGGTGCAGCACTATTATTTCTTTTACATTTATGACAACAGCTAATTTGCAACCAAAAGGTGAGTGAGCATAGCGAACGAACTTCAACCTGGAGGCGAGTTAGCGTAGTGAACGAACTAACCTGAAGGCAAGTGAGCTTAGCGAACGAGCTAACCTGAAGGCAAGTGAGCGCAGCGAACGAGCTCCAACCCAAAGGTGAGTGAGCGTAGCGAACGAGCTCCAACCTAAAGGTGAGTGAGCGTAGCGAACAAACTTCAACCAGGACGTGATTGAGCCATGCGAACGAGATCATCTTGAAAATTAAGAAGTTAAACGGGGCAAAGCCCGCGGGTGTCAGCTAGTATAAGTATATATTCATTTTGATTTTATTGTTATTATTTTTATAAACCATATATAAATCCCAAAGAACCACTGAAATAAAAAAAAATAAGTTACAACGCCATGTGCTTGTAACTTTAGCCATGCTAAGTTACAACGCCATAAACCATATATAAGGTACTTGAAATGTTTTTTCATGGCGAGAAACCTTGCGCAAAACTATCCATTATTTCACAAATAGTCCTTTAAGTTCGTAATTCCTTTCCAAAGGGAACTTTCCTTATACCTAAAAATATCTCAGCTGTACTTATTTGTATTTTATTCTTTAAATTTATTAACATTACCATAGTAAAAATCAGGTTTGATTATTTGTTTGTATTACTGTAATCTGTGTTGTTTATTTCAGCTTAACTTAACCAATCAATAGTTTTATTAATACTCATGAAGACAAACGGGATGAACAAACCCAGTGGGCAACAGCTAGTAAAAAAATGGTAAAATGGTGTTTGCAATCTGGGTGACGTCAGCACATGACGGGAATAGCACACTTGTTTTTCCTTCCACTACGAGCTAATGCTAAGCCACGGCCACCTTTAAACTCCAGGGCGCGGTCTTCGAGGGCCACACTATCATTGCTGTTACAGCTGTTTGTTTTTTTTTTTGGGACAGCTAATTCGTTTTTTTATGTTTACAAAAAATGTGAAAGCTTTGTTACTGGGTTGAGAAAATATTGACTCAATTATAAATGTACAGAAATAAATCTATATTGTTTTGGTTTAGAACACGTTTGATTTTCGATCTTTTAATAAATTCATATTCATATTCATAAATTTAAATTTAAATGAATAAAAGGCGACTAAGTGAGCTGGCGTCTCCTTTCTGCTTAGGAGGTCTACTTAGCCATAATTGTAACTTCCGGCACTCACCTTTGCTCGTCTCCTTTTTTTGACTTGTCCCAAAAACCGACAAAAATGAGGCTCGGGCGAGCACGAAACATGGTGAGGCGAACTATCCCGAGCGTACACGAGCAGACAGGGTACACTATCGTGCTCGCCTAGCTGGCCCATATTTGGATGAAACGTTTGGATGCCTTTTTTGAGCATTTACAAGAATAATCATAGTACAAATTTGTAGATAATTTTATTATTTTTTTGGAATATAACCTTCCACTTTGGTCGATTTAGTTGTATGCAAAAAACTAAGCAACGTCCTAATTTATAGTAGTGAGAAAATACTGAATTAGATATTTTTTTGTTAAACTTTGTACAACTAAATCCAAACCTCTACTTGGCTGATTTTGTTAATTAATGGGTCACTAGAAAGCTTAATTCGTTTGGATTTGCAAATAATTGTGTAATTTTATAAATATTAGTAGTAACAAATTTAAAAATGACAAAAATAAATTGAAAAATCCTTGTTCAAGTTTCTGTTTTCAAGTTTCTATTTGTAGCCAAGTTTTGGCAGTCTTGTTTAGTATTTTCAAGAAGTACATAGTGGTTTTTTGTAGGGAATTTTATTCTCTTTCAGAATATCACATCTATAATTTGGCCGATTTCTTACAGTTTAAAAGTTATTGGCAAATAAGCTAAGTGACCTCCGAATTTATAGTTGTTAGAAAATACTGTATTAGAGATATTTTTGTTAAACTTTGTACAACTGAATCTAAACTTCTACATGACCGATTTCGTCAATTATTAATGGGTCATTAGAAAGCTCAATGATTCCACGATTAATGAAAAATAGTGAATTGGTCTCCTCATCCATGGAGGTGGAGATTATCTTTAGTAAACACTTCACAGGCAAATCATTCGTGCTCC